GTTTTGATGAAATTCATATTAATATTCAGTCTGAGCGCATATTAGATTAGCAAATTAATTTTATTTAAGACATATGGTAGGTATATATGCATCTTAAGTGTATGATTCTTGCTTTATCATAAAAGTAACTCTTAATTGTATTATAAATTTTAGTGTTACTAAATAAAAAGCTACTTCACACTAAGTAATGTAATCTTGGTATTTCGCTATACCAGGAACTATCCTTGGTATATTGAAACACCTGAAAATAAATCACCATTTTCGTAAATGTTTTATTATACGGATATTATAATCGTAAATAAAGAAGTTTCATCACAGAATCGGCTATTTTTAAGTGATGTCGTTATAATCTGATTCCGGTATAGTCAGGAGTTTGTTAAAAAACTTTTTCTATACACAGTGCATCATCAAAAATAAAATATTTTCAAGAGTTTTAAATACTTTTGAGCAGTGAGCTGGGATATCAGGTAATTTTATTTCCAAATGTGCAATTGTGATTCCCAGTTGTTCTTGAAAGTTTTACCGGATTGTTTAAATTTATTTATTTTATGGACATCAATAGAAATCACACAAACTGTTTGAATGTTTAACAAAGTTAATCAAAATACTGTACTGAGAAAGAAAACTGGAAAAATTAAATTTAGCATTTTTGGTTAAACGTACGAAAAGATCAAATACTTACGCATGTTCAGCAAAATGAAAATCACAATGTCCCTTACATTTTCACGAACATCCAACTAAATAATAAGAAAAGAATTATTGTTATTCTTTAGTCATTAAAACAAATGTTATAGATTGTTTTCTTAAGCTTTGTTTCGTTAAAAGGTGTTCAAATTATGCAGTTTCAAAAAAGGAATTTATGCTGTTGTTAAATTTTTAATTTTGCCACAAAATGTATTAGAAAATTTTTAAACCTTTTTTTGAAATATTAAAGCAATTACAATTTTTTCTTAAAAGCTTTATACTTCTCAGTGGTGTGGTTCAGTTGAATAGTGACGGTATTGTAACCAGAAGTAGTATATTTGCTTTATACACACAAATGCTTTAAAAACACAGCATGTGCACAAACATGTTCCTTTATTGATAGAACAGTTAAAAGCATGCAAAAATAGAATAAACGTGATTAACAAAATTTGTTTTCACGAATGGCGGTGATATTTGGAAGCTTCAGGATTGGTAGAGCACAGTTTTACACTCATCTTAGAAGGTGACAAACTCAAAGTGTAAAATTCTGTCGCAAGCTCAGCTGTTACAATTGTTTTTTTTTTGTTTGTTTGTTTTTTCAACAAAAATTTCTCTCTCCTTTCAAAAGATGATTAAAATTAAATAAATGAAAAATATAATTCATAATGCCCTCTGGTATTATATGTCATCCCTTTTTCACGTTTCGTTTTAAAAGTGGATTTTGCATCAGAGTTGTTAAAATGAATCTCTCGAAAAGTAATAAATTCGAAATTACTATACAGGATAAATATTTAAACATTGTTTTTTTTATTCAAATTACAGCAGAAGTTTACATATTTTGTGAACAGTTAATATTAACAGTTATATATTATATTCATGAACAGAATTCAGCATTTCAGTTATAATAAACCTGCCATAGTTTAGAATTGAAATTGAAAAATATTTACAAATTACCCTTTGAATCGGCATTGTGTAGACATATTTAATGTTTCATACGGCAGATCTCTAAAATAAGCTAAATAGTAATAACTAATGTCAGTTCAAAATAAATACAATAAAATTTTTATTGTTGCCAACATGCGCAAATACCTTGATTAGTTTATTTTTTAAATCAAAGTTCTTTAAATTTTGCATTTTTTAAGCATACTTACATAAACCTAAAGTTTTATGATTTTAATTATTGATAAAAAGTGAAAATTCGATTATAATGGGTGCAGTATAGTATTTTCCTCTTCGTTAAAATTTTTGATTCCTGATATTAGGGAATTCGCAAATTTGCGTCAGCTTCCGTATAAAGATTTTAAGTCAATTTTGGTGAAATGCTCCCGCTCAAAAAAATATTACATCAGTAAAAATAAGAGGTTTTGCAAAAATACGTTGAAAAAAAGTTAAAAATACCCCGCTGACATATTTTAATATTATTTTAACTATAAATACAAAATATTAAAAAAGACATTTACAATGGACGTAGACGATCTTTTCAAAGCTGTGACATACGATTCAAGAAACGTAAAAACGTACGATTCAAAAAACGTTGTTCAAACGTAACACTACGGTTATTTGAGCAGAAAAAATAGTAGATTAGAGATTTTCAGGAAATAAGTGATAAAAAAAAAACAGCTTATTATTTTGAATTTATGGCTGAAGATTTAAGACATAGTTTCTGCATGAGGTTTACAATTAACCATAACTTCAACAGAGATTTCAAGCTTTGTGTGGATGCTATTTTTGAAAAAAAAAGAGCTCTTATGACCATTTTTACGTTTTTTTTATCTACATTTGTGATACTTTATTATCCAACTGATAGATATGTCTATATGAAAATCAAACCATGCTTTACTTTTCTATTGATCCTCCGAAGTTAGCTGAATATCTGTCAAACTAATCTCCTTTTTTGATCCTTAATACAAATAAATACTTGACAATATTATATGTGTAATGTCTTCTTTTTATTGTTTGGCATGTTTAAATCAATGAGTATTTGACAAATGATTATCATAAAATTGTAGTCAGAAGATAGAAAAATTTTTTATTTTTCTATTTAGTATTTATTCAGAATAATTTTTGTCGCATGTGACATTTTAAAATTTGATATTCCTTTAAGTTACGCATTTTTTTTAAAAAAAATATAATGTTATTTTGTTAAAAAACTGGGAAAACGGTGCAATTATGTATTAGAATGAGGCTCAAAAACGCACTTTCTCTGAGTACGCATACCTTTTTCTCAACAGATTTGGATTTTCAATCCTCAAAATATAGGGGTAGTCGCAATTTAGAAAATACGGTTACCGTACTTTCGTCAGGATAGCGAACCAAAATTTGAACCCAGTAATGTAAATTTTATTTTTTTGCGCATTTCGCCATATCTCTAGAAGTTTTTAAGCGAATTGAAAAAATTTTGCGCACAATTATAAAATTCTCTTAGTCAAAGATAATTCCATGCAAAAAATAACTTTTAGTCTATATTGATTATTTTTTTGACATTTAGCTTAATAATAGGCGACACATTTATCGATTTCCATTATAATGCATACAATTTCTTTCATAATTTTAAAGTATGTTATTTTACATGGCAAAATACAAGGTTTGAGCGAAATCGGTCGAATAGTTCCTGAGAAATTGAATTTTAAAATTCCATTTATCAGGAATTATTCGAACGATTTTGCTTTAATTTTGTATTTCGCCATGAAAAATTGCATGCTTTTAAATTATGTAAAAAAATTATATACCATAGAATTCTAAATTTTTTCGACTATTATTAAATAAAATAATAAATATTTACTGAAATCTATTTTCTGCATAGAATTACCTTTGAATAAACGAATTTTAAAATTGTGTGCAAATTCTTTTTTGATTCGCTTAGAAAGTTACTGAGCTATGACGAAATACGTAAAAAGTCAAATTAACATTATGCGGTCTAAACTTTGGATCGCCCTTCTGACCAAAATATGGGGGCCATAATTTCCAGATTGAGGCTATTCCCTATATTTTGGGGTTAAGTTATTTTTTTATTTCTACGTTTTTATTAGCTCGCTTTTGCGTATGCAGTGATGGAATTTTGCAATCAAAAGTTTAACCCATTTCCGATTAAATAGAACCCTCAAATGTCAATTGTAGCTCCATGTCTGATGACAGTGCAAGTTTCAACCGTTTATTGATTGATACAAGTAGAATTTTGCAATTTTATCGTCAATCGAAATTACAATCTGTTTAAAACTGGCTAGCGTATTAAAAATTTTAAATAGAGTTTTGAACTGGATGATAATATTAATTCTTATCATTATCATCTTCAAAAGGAATCTATCGTCAATAAAAATTCTGACTACTTTAAGCTTAACTTGAACACTAAAATTAAATTTAAAACATTTTTAGTTACATGGTCCACAGTTTAAGATCACCAGTGAAGATTGCCACAAATTTTTATAGTGATTTCTATTAAATCTAGTATCTTTAGTAACATGATTGCTTTTATTAAATATTTTTTAATATTCTTGATATATATACCTTCAATACTTTATTTTTATATAAAAGAGGCTCCTGGCAGAAAATTTACATATGTAAATAAACGAATTATAGTTTTCATACATTTTATAGGATTTAAAGTTGTAAATTTTTGTGTTTCAATAGATAAGTCCGGGTAAATACAAATGAAGTAATTTCTCGCAATTTTTAAATAGAGATCTTTCATTAACTTTTTATAAAATACGCTCAACTTTTACAATATTATGATCATTTATTTAAAAAAAAAACGACATAATACTCAGGCGATTACACTTGCATTACACTTATATGAGTAACAGAAAATGTATTCATGTGACAGTGTTTACCCAACTATATGAAATTAAATTTTATGTGAAAAACGTGTCAGTATTAGTGTGAAACATTTAAAAATGTTGTTACATAACATCGAGTTTAATAATTTGTGTGAGAGTTGAATGATTTATATGCACATCTCTGAACACTAAAATGTAATTTTATTGTATTTTTAATGTAGGTTACACTTTGAATTTAATACCAACTAAACTAACCTGTTGTGATGAGCAATTTTTACAAGCGAAATATTAAAAACCTTTTTGTTTTATACAATAAGAAAGTGCACACTATTTTCCATCTAAAAGAAATGTGAAACTAATTTTTCTATTTTTAGAGGGAATTTACATTTAAACTTAGTTTTTTAAAATTGGAAATGTTGATTTATGTATTTGGCTCAAAAATACGAGAATGAACAATTGTATAATTGAGAATAAACACTGAATACAATTCATTTATCTTTGAAGTCTATGTTTTCATATTTCTTATGTATCAAGGGTTTGTGTTTTACTACATAAGAGTTCAAGTGATGTGAAGCACTGTTTAGGTTTTCTCCATTTAGCCATTTATTGTCACAAAAATATTTACATCGTTCTGTTCGATAGCAACACTTTATGTCGTTTAATAAGATTCCTATCACTCAGTGATGAACCGCTTTATATAAAGTGAGAAGAATGAAATGACTAACAAAAAGTATAGTTTTTAAATCGTCAAATAAAGTTAAGTTTTCAGACATACAGGCCACTGTCCCCAAGTAGAAGTCGAACTGGTGCAATATAAATAATTCAGTCTGGGATCTTTTAAGTGATATCCAGCTGTGCACCCCACGGGGCATCGATTTCCTACTACCAGTTTCGAGCAATCTTGTACTAACACCATGCCTTCAGGCATTACAGGTGGGGGACAGTAACATTCAGGCATCTTAGACCATGTCAGATTTCGTAAACATATCATGTAGTTTATTCCTTGAATAAATTTCGATCCTTCTTTCTCCCATTTACATCTGAGTACGCAACGTTCTCCGATTGCTATATTTTTGCAGGTGGAATCACTTCTCAGCCATGTTTTGAACCACTTAGGTTCGGGACAAACGGTGCGACACTTCGGAAACCTTGGCCATCGGGCATTCCTTTGGCACCTCATTCTACCATCTCCTTCTATTCTTTTCTTCCTGTCCTTACAAGTAAGTTGGCAATATTTACCTATTCGCAGGTCTCTACACTGTCTTGAGACTATTTCCAGATCAGGGTTCATTCTCGGCTGCGGACAGGTGCAATCAGGTAAAGCAGTCCAGGTGCCGTTGCTTAAACATCGTATGACTTTACTTCCTATCATTCTACCGCGTTGGGTGCAAACTAAGGAACAAGATTTACCTACAACCGGATTCACGCATGGAGATTCGAATTTAATGTATGAGGGTGGAAAGAGCATTCGACATTTTGGGGACATACATTGAGTACTACGGAGTGATGACCACCTGGTGCTGTTAAAACACATTATTGTTTTATGTCCTCTTATTTTCTTATTTCCTTTACATCGAATCTTGCAAACATCCCCCCTTTTTTTGGAGTTACAGTTCTCACCGGCTTCCAAATCATTGGTGAATGTTGGGGGTGGGCACAAGCAATCGGGCAAAGAAGTCCATTTGTGCATTTTCTGACAAATTATTTTGGCATTCCCTATCATTTGATCTTTATTCCTACAGTTAACATTGCATGACTCCCCTACACCTTTGGATGAACAGTTCTCTGTCAAAATTAAGTAAAAGGGAAGTTTAGGTTTTCGACATCTTGTTACACACAGAGCTCGAAAATTCCATTTAGCATTAACTCCACACGTCAATTTATTATTACCTTTTAATTTATAGTGTCGTTTACAACCTATGGTGCAGATTTCACCTCTTTTTTTGTCGACGCAGCTTCCAACAATATTTAATTTTCTAGGAAGTACGGGATTCGGACAGGTGCATTCAGGAAAGGAACTCCAATTAGATCCAAGTAAACATTGAATTTGAGATTTTGCAATTAGTTTCCCGCCTTGCGAACAAGTTAAGTGACAGGTTTCGCCAACCACTTTTGAAGTACATTTACTTCTAAGATTCAAATAGGCAGGAAGTTTAGGTTCCGAACACATAGAGGAGCATTTTGGTAGGGCAGAGGACCATTTTCTGTTTTCTTGGCAGGTCAAAGTGCTTTGTCCTATTATTTTCTGATTTCCTTTACAGCTAACTTCACAAACTTCACCTTTTTTCTTGAAATTGCAATTATCCTTTGTCTTTAAATCACTCGATAGAAGAAGTGGAGAGCAAGTGCAGTCTGGAAATGTGCTCCATGCATGCTCACTCAAACATGTTATTACGTTTCTTCCAATTATACTGCCATTTTGAGAACACTGTACTTCACAAGATTCACCGATGAGCTTTGAGAAACAATTTCCTTTTATAGCCAAAAATACTGGAAGTCTCGGATTCAAACATGTTATTAAATCGCACTTGGGTTGTAAAGACCAGTTAGCACCTTCCAAGCATGTCAAGAAATTGTTCCCCGTCATTTTGCTATTTTTTCTACAACTGACTCTACAAACTTCACCTATTTTCTTTTCATTACAATCTTCTAAATTTATAACACCTCCTCTTAATGCTGGCGGTGGACACGTACAGGTAGGTAGTACTGTCCAATGAGTCAGTGTTAAACATTTTATCAAAGGGTTTCCGATTACATGCCTATTTTGAGCGCAATTCACTTTGCAAGATTCTCCGATGATTTGAGAAGTACAGTTTCCTTCAAACTTCAAATAAGGCGGAAGTTTTGGCGCAGAGCATACTGAAGCACAAGTTGGAGATTTCGACCATAAGGCATCACTCTGACATTTCAATACATTCTGGCCAACCAATCTTTTATTTCCAACACAACTAACACTACAAACGTCTCCTATTTTTTTGTGATCACAATTCACTGTTGCTCTCAAGTTTGCCGTTAAAGAAGGCGATGGGCAAGTGCATTCTGGGTATTTACTCCAGTCATTTGTACTCAGGCATGTAATTAAATTTGTTTCAACGATATTACCTTTTTGTGCGCACTTTACTTGACAAGATTCCCCAACAATTTTAGCTGAACAAGCGTCCTTTAGAATCAAGTATTTGGGAAGATTAGGCTTCGAGCATATTGAGGCACATTTTGGTTGTGGTGACCATTTTCTATTTTCTTGACAGGTTAGAGTATTCTGTCCTATTAGTCTTTTATTCTCTTTACATCTAATTTCACAAACATCACCCTTTTTCTTGGAATCGCAACTCTTTTTTGTTTCCAAATCCACTGATAAATGAGGTTGTGAGCAAGCGCAATCTGGAAATTCGCTCCAGTCATGCTCACTCAAGCATGTTATCACGGCTGCTCCAATAATATTACCATTTTGAGTACATCGTATTTCACACGTTTCCCCAATGAATTTGGAAACACAAATTCCCTTGATAGACAAATAAATAGGAAGTTTAGGACTTGAACAAGATATCAAATCGCACTTAGGCTGTGATGTCCAGGTAGCGTCTTCCAAACAAGTCAAAAAGTTGTTTCCAGTCATTTTACTATTTTTTTTGCAACTAACTCTACAGATTTCGCCTATTTTCTTTTCATTACAATTTTCTGAATTAAGAACTCCTCCTCTTAAAGAAGGTGGAGGGCATGTGCACGTTGGTAGTGAAGTCCAACTAGTCTGTGTTAAACACTTTATGGAAGGATTTCCGATAATCTTTCTATTTTGAACACAATTAACTTTGCAAGTTTCGCCAATGATCTGAGAAGAGCATTTTCCTTCAAGCTCTAAATAGCTTGGAATTTTAGGCTTAGAGCATATGGAGACACATTTTGGTTGTGAAGACCATTTTCTGTTATCTTGGCAAGTCAATATATTCTCTCCTATTATTCTTTTATTCTCTTTACAACTGATTTCACATGTATCACCCTTTTTCTTATAATTACAGACACTATTTGCTTTTAAATCTCCTGATAGGTGTGGTGGGGGGCAAGTGCAATCTGGAATTTTACTCCATTCATGTTCATTCAAGCATGCAACCTCAGCTCTTCCAATTATTCTGCCATTTTGAGAACACTGTACCTCACAAGACTCGCCAATGAGCTTCGAGAAGCAATTTCCCTTCACAGTCAAATAAGCAGGAAGTGTCGGATTTCGACATGTTATCAAATCACACGTTGGCTGCAAAGACCAAGTAGCATCATTCAAACACGTCAAGAAATTATTCCCCGTCATTTTACTATTTTTTCTGCAACTAACTCTACAAACATCCCCTATTTTCTTTTTATTACAATCTTCTAAATTCAAAATACCTCCTCTGAAAGATGGTGGTGGGCACGTACAGGTTGGTAGTACGCTCCAATTAGTCTGCGTTAAACATTTTATCAAAGGATTTCCGATAATGTGTCTACTTTGAACACAATTCACTTTACAAGTTTCTCCGATGATTTGATTGGAACAATCTCCTTCTAACTGTAAATAATTTGGAAGTTTGGGTACGGAGCAAACTGAAACACAAGTTGGAGGATGAGACCATGTAGCATCATCTCGGCAGGTTAAAGAACTTTGTCCTAACAATCTTTTATTTCCTTTACAACTAACATTACAAATTTCTCCCATTTTTTTGTTATCACAATTAGCCATTACTTTTAAGTTTGCTGTTATAAAACTTGTTGGAGTTGGGCAAGTGCATTCTGGGTATTTACCCCAATTATTCTCACTTACGCATGTTATTAAGTTTTTACCAATAATATTACCATTTTGGGCACATTTTACTTCGCAAAATTCCTTTACAATTTTCGACGAGCAACTCTCTTTTAGACTCAAGTATTTTGGAAGTTTAGGCCTAGAGCATAAAGTAGCACAAGTAGGCAGTGAGGACCATTTTCTGTTTTCTTGACACATCAAAGTACTCTGTCCTATTAATCTCTTATTTTGATAACATTTCAATTCACATGACTCTCCTTTTTTCTTAAAATCGCATAGAGTTAGAGTTTCTAAATCACGTGATAAATGTGGAGGTGGGCAAGTACAATCAGGAAGTTCGCTCCATTCGTGCTCGCTCAGGCATGTTATCACAGCTTTCCCGACAATATTTCCATTTTGATTGCAGCGTAACTCACAGGATTCTCCTTTGAATTTAGAAAAGCAATTTCCTTTGATCGTCAAATAATGAGGAAGTTTTGGATTTGAACATGTTATCAAATCGCATTTTGGTTGCGCTGACCAGGTTGCATTTTTCAAACAGATCAAATAATTATTGCCCTTAAGTTTGCTGTTTTCTCTACACTTAACATGACAGACTTCTCCTTCCTTCTTTTTATTGCAATCACCTAAATTTATTACACCTCCCGTAAAATATGGTGGAGGGCAAGTGCAAGTTGGTAGTGAAGTCCAACTAGTCTGTGTTAAGCACTTTATAGAGGGATTTCCAATAATGTGTCTATTTTGAAGGCATTTTACTCTGCACGTTTCACCGATTATTTGAGAAGAGCAGCTGTCTTCCAGCTTTAAATAGAGTGGAAGTTTAGGTACAGAGCACACTGAAGCACAAATTGGTGCTGGTGACCACGAGGCGTTATTTTCACATGTCAAAATACTTTTTCCTACCAATCTAGTATTTTCCATGCAACTAACTTTACAAATATCACCTATACTTTTGGTATTGCAACTAACTGATGCACTTAAATTCTCTGTTAAAACTGGAGCTGAGCAAGTACATTCTGGAGGTTTGCTCCAGCTATTTTCACTTAAGCAAGTTATCAGATTTGATCCAATCATAGTACCATTTTGTGTGCATTTTACTCTACAGGATTCACCGACAATTTTTGAAGAACAATTGCCAGAAAAAGCCAAGTATTTCGGAAGTTGAGGTACCGAACATATTGAGGTACAAACTGGTAGGGATGACCATTTTCTATTTTCTCTGCACGTCAAAATATTAGATCCTACTAATTTTTTATTTCCTTTACAACGAACTTTACAAAGGTCTCCTTTTTTCTTTAAATCACAGACATCTATCATCTCTAAATGATGCTTCTGTAATACTGGGGATGGGCAAGTGCAATCAGGAAGTTGGCTCCATTCCTGCTCACTCACACATGTTATCACCGTTTTCCCCAAGATACTACCTTTTTGCTCACACTGTACTTCGCAAGATTCTCCAATTAATTTAGAATAGCAACCTCCCTTGAAAGCTAGATAAGAAGGAAGAGTAGGATTGGAGCAAGTTATGATATCACACTTTGGTAACGAAGACCATTCCATGTTTGGTAAACAAGTCAAGTAATTGTTGCCTGTCATTTTGCTTTGTCGCCTACAACCAACTTTACAAGATTCGCCAATTTCCTTTTTATTACAATCCTCTGTGCTTATGACACCTCCCTTCAGAGAGGGTGGGGGACATGTGCAATTTGGTAGAGAACTCCATTTATTATTTGGGATACATCTTATTGTATTATTACCGAGAAGGTGACGTTTCTGCGTACAACTCACTTCGCAAGTTTCGTTAACAACTTTGGAAGAACAATTTCCATTTAGTTCCAAATAATCTGGAAGTACGGGTACAGGACATATTTGAGCACATTTTGGCAATATTGACCATTTCCTACTTTCTTGACACATCAAAGAGCTTTGTCCAATTATTCTCTGGTTACCACTGCATTCAGTTTTGCAGCTGTCTCCGTGTTTTTTTAAATTACATTTTTCAGCAGTTTTGAGATCCGCTGGTAAAAGTGGGGCTGGACAAGTACAGTCTGGCCATTTGCTCCAATTTTTTTCACTTAAACATGTTATTGCAGGCTCTCCTAAAATACTACCATTTTGTGAGCAGCTTACCTCGCAAGAATCGTTTACAACTTTTGAAGAACAATTGCTATTAAAAGTTAAATATTTGGGTAGTTTAGGAGTTGAACACAAGAAAGCACATATAGGAGAGGATGACCATTTTCTATTTTCTAAGCACGTCAGAAAGTTTTGTCCTATTAATTTCTTAGTACCTTTACACTTAATCCTACAGGTATCTCCCCTTTTCTTGGAACTACAATTTTCTGTTGCCGAGAAATCTTCAGATAAATGTGGCAAAGGGCATGTGCAGTCTGGATACTCACTCCACTCTTGATCACTTAGGCATGTTATTAGATTGTTTCCAATAATGCTGCCATTTTGATGACATTGCACCTCGCAAGATTCCTTTACGAGTTTCGAAAAACAGTCCCCTTTGAATGACAAATATTCGGGCAGCACAGGGATCACACATGTTATCATATCGCATTTAGGCAAAGATGACCAAGTAGTATCTTCTAAACATGTTAAGAAATTGTTTCCAGAGAGTTTACTATTTTCCCTACATTTAACTTTACAAGTATCACTGATTTTCTTTTTATTACAATCTTCTATATTTATAACACCGCCTGCTAGTGGGGGTGGTGGACAGGTGCAAATCGGAGGTGGGCTCCATTCTTTCTCCGCTATGCATCTTAATGAAGAATTTCCTAGAATTTGTCCCTTTTGAACGCACTCAACTTCACATGTACCCCCCACTATGATAGAAGAACAATTTCCTTCAACTCTTAAATACTTGGGAAGTGTAGGTTCAAAGCATACAGCTACACATTTCGGCAACATTGTCCAAGTAGCATTTTCCTGACAGGTTAATAAATCTTCACCCAGCATTCGTTTATTTTCCATACAAGTCATTTTACATTGTTCATTTACTTTCTTCGAATCACAGTTTTCTTCGGTCTTCAGATACTCTGTTAGGTTTGGTTTTGAACAGGCGCATGTGGGGTATTCACTCCACGTATTCTCTGCCATGCACCTGATTTTGGTGTCACCGAGGAGTAAGCCATTTTGATTGCATTCTACTTCGCACAATTCTCCGATTTCTTTCGAAAAGCAGTCTCCTTTGAAACTTAGATATGTTGGAAGTTTGGGTTCTGCGCATATTATCATATCACACTTCGGTGAGATAGACCACGTTATATTTTCTAAACACATAATAAAATTTTTTCCTATCATTTTCTTATTTTTTCTGCACATAAGTTCGCAAATTTCACCTTTCTTCTTTTCGTTACAATCAGTTTTATTTACAACACCTCCCGTTAATAGCGGTGGTGGACAGGTGCAATTAGGTAAGGCACTCCATTCATTTTCCGTTAGGCATTTTACAGTAGCATTTTCGAGAAGTTTTCCCTCATGCATACATTTCACACTACATGTTTCATTTATTGTTTTCGAATCACAAATTCCGTTAAAAGCTAAGTGCGCAGGAAGTATTATCTCGGAGCAGATCGAAGCACATTTAGGTAGCATTGACCACTTAGTGTTGTTTAGGCACGTCAAAAACTCACCATCTTTCAATTTTCTGTAGCCAATGCATTTAACTTTGCAAATATCTCCAATTTTCTTCTCGTCGCAATTATCTACCACTTCTAAATCGTCACCTAAAAACGGAGAGGGACACAAACATTCAGGAAACGGACTCCATAACTGGTTCACTAAGCACTCAATTGTATTGTTACCAATCATTTTACCTCCTTGCTTACACGTTGTCTCACATCTTTCACCAACATGTTTCGAAGAGCAATTGTCATTTGTTTCCAAATATTCGGGAAATTCAGGATTAAGACAAACTGAAACACATTTTGGTAATTGCGACCATTCAGCATTTTCAAGACACGTTATTAAATTCTGCCCCAACATCTTACTGTTTTCTTTACAGGAAATGGTGCAGTTTTCACCCCTTTTTTTATGCCCGCAACCATCTTCAGCTACTAAACTTTCGTTTAAAATCAATGGTGGGCATGTGCAGTCAGGAAACTGACTCCACGTTTTTCCATCTGTACATTTTATCGTATGATTTCCAAGTAATGTTCCTTTGTTAACACATATTAACTCACACGATTCCCCTTCATTTGAAGAAGAACATTTTTCCTTTAAAGTCAGATAAGAATGGAGTTGAGGAACAGAGCAGTTTAACAATTGGCAGAACGGCAATGGTGTCCATTGTGTGTCGTTAAGGCATGTAATTGATTCCTTCCCGATTAATCTCATATTGTTCTTGCAACTAATTTTGCAAATTTCGCCCCTTTTTTTAAAAGTGCAATTGTCTTTAATTTCTACTTCATCTGTGAGTTGCGGCTCAGGACAGCTGCAGTCTGGTAATGTGCTCCATTCAGAATTATTATGACATTTTATGAATTTGCTTCCAATCAATTTACCTCCTTGTTTGCAAGAAATTTTACAGCTATCTCCTACGTATTTGGATGAGCAATTTTCTTCCAGTTGCAATATTGCTTCTGGTATTTCAGGTTTTGGGCATGTTTTGCGGATACAAAAAGGTTGAGAACTCCAATTAGTATCATTTTGACAAGTAATAAAATCCGACCCTTCAAGTTGCAAGCCATATTCACAGTAAAGATTGCATTTTTGTCCGCGCCTAGTATAAGAACAGTTACCCTTTAAATTATTTTTTAAAAGTGGTGATGGACAGGTACAATCTGGCAGAGTGCTCCAAGTATAGTTATTTAAACACACAATCTTACTGTCTCCAATAATTTCACCTCCCAATTTGCAGCTTAAAACACAAAACGAACCCACTTTTTTCAAACAAGCTCCTTTTAAAGTTAAAACACTTCTACTAAATACGGGTTCAGAACACATCCTTTCTATGCATCGTGGCAACGTGCTCCACGTTGCATCATCTTGGCATTCAATGAAATCTTTTCCTAAAATCATGAATGGATCTTCGCACTTTAATCTGCATATTTCATTCACATATTTCGCCGAACAATTTTCTTTCAAAACTATCGAGTTTGTCAGATTAGGAGTAGAGCATGTTGTGTTTGAACATATTGGTAAGCTTGTCCAAGATCCCTTCTCTTGGCAATAAATTGAAACGATCTCCGAAGTTTTCAACCTGGATTTACATTTCAAAAGACATTTATCACCTGCACTTTTATTAAAACAATTATCTAGAAATTTTAGTTTTTCATTTAGTTTTGGAAAGGGACAGAAGCAGATGGGAAATTCAGACCATTTCAGTGAAGAGTAGCATTCAATGTAATTTTCCCCCTTCATCGTACCACCATGCTTGCACAATAATTCGCATCTTTCTTTCACACCTTTGGAAGAACAGTTCTCTTTAAACATTAGGTGACTAGGCAAATTAGGCTTAGAGCAATTTCTTTTTAAGCATTTAGGTTCTATTGTCCATTTAAAATTGTTTCGGCACATAACAAAATTTTTTCCGTAAAGCTCCAAATTTTTCTGACATTCAATCAAACAAATTTCTCCGGGAGTTTTGAATGAGCAAGTTTCAGTTAGGAGTAAACCTGGACTTAGGTTCGGGTTCGGGCATGTACATATAGGAAATGAAGTCCATTTTAGCTGTTTCAAGCATTTAATTTTATTACCATGAGCGATTTCTCCTTCCATTTTGCACAAAAGTCTGCAAGCATTTCCGGGTATCTTTTTAGAACAATCTTCGTCGAACTGTAGGTAGCTTGGTAGTACTGGCTTTGAGCAATGTCTTAGGTTGCAGGAAGGAAAATTATTCCAACGAAAATTTGCTCCACAAGTTATGTGACTGTTAGCCGGATAATGAAATTTTTCTTTGCAAAAGACTTTGCAAACTTGTCCTGGTTGTTTCGACGAACAATCTTCTAACGAGTTTAAGTTAAGTGGGAAAAAAGGTGGTGGGCATGAGCAGTTTGGTAAAGATGACCAGGTTGTAAGAGTGATGCAATAAATCTTACTATCCTGAATAGTTCTGCCGCCAGTACGGCATTCGAGTGAGCACGCATCACCGATAACTTTGGATGAACAGTCTTCTCGAAATATTAATTCATTTGGAAGTATTGGCTTGGAGCAAAATACTTCACGACATATCGGTAGTTTACTCCATTTTGTATTATTTTGGCAAGAAATATAACTTTTGCCAATAATAATTGAATTCTCTACACATTCTAAAAGGCAAATTTCCCCAGGTATTTTGAATTTACAATTTTCAACCATTTTCAAATCATTATCTATCATTGGAGATGGACAAGTGCAACTTGGAAAGGATGTCCATTTAACAGTGTCTTCGTTTTCTATACAAGTCAACATGTTCAGTTCAAGAAAATCACCCCCTTCACGACACTTAAGGCGGCATGTTTCTCCCAAAGATTTGAAAGAGCAATCTTCATTAAAGATCAAACTTTTAGGAAGTTTAGGTTTTGGACAGAACACTTTTTCACATTTTGGTAACGGTGACCACCTTGTATTACTTAGGCAAATAATATAGTTTTTTCCTTTCAAGCGAAAGGTCTTTTTGCATTTTAAGTAACAACGCTCTCCCACTTTCACATTTTTACAATCTTCATCTTCTTCTAGAGCATCTGGCAGAGTTGGTATGGGGCATGAGCAATCAGGAAGAACTGTCCAACTAGTACCTTGTATACATTGAATATACTTGACACCATGCATTTTACCTCCTTCTCTGCATTCAACTTCACATTTTTCTCCGGGAAATAATTCTGCGCAGTCTCCAACATATTCTAATGATTTTGGCAGAATGTTTTTGATACAAGGTTTTCGTTTACACATTGGAAAAGGACTCCATCTTGTGTCATTTTGACAAAGTATGAAAATACTTCCCGCAGAGGAGAATTCCTTTTTACATTTTAAAGAGCAACGTTCACCCGGGAACTTAGTAGAACAATTTTCAGCAAATAATAAATAATCAATCAAAACTGGAGGAGGGCAAGCACATTTTGGGAACAATGACCATTTTTTTTCTTTTTTGCAAGTAATTTTATTCGATCCTAGCAGTTTTCCTCCGTAGCGACATCTTAACAAACAATGTTCACCAAATGTCTTTGATGTACAATCTTCGCTGAAAAATATAGTTGTTGGAATGAGAGGCTCAGGACAAGTTATTTTCTTACATCTTGGTAAAATGCTCCATTTCATGTTTTCCTGACAAGTTATAAAATGATGTCCAACTAAATAAAAATATTCCTTACAAGTGAGAGAGCAAGTGCTATACGGCATCACACTTGTACAGTTGCTTATAAATTCTAAATTATCACTAAGTTTAGGGAGTGGACAAGTGCAATTCGGTAAGGCTGTCCAAAATAATCCATCAATGCATTTAATTTTATCTTCCTTTACGAATAGACCCCTTTCTCGGCATTCAAGCTGACAGTACTCACCGGACATTTTTGATGCACAATTTTCATGAAAAGTCAAAGAGGCGGTCAACTTTGGTTTCGGACAAAGTAATTTCGTACACACAGGGAAGGCAGTCCATTCTAATTGATCTAAGCATCTGATAGTCGTGGTTTGTTCTAAGGCATACCCACGCTTGCATTTTAAATGACACCTTTCTCCTGGATATTTCAAATTACATTTTTCCTTCAGTAATAAAGGATCTTGAATGGACGGAGGAGGGCATGGGCAATTTGGATATCTATTCCATCCCGCAATACTTCGACAGATCAAAGTGAAATTAAGTTCTTTGCGTTGCTTGCAGCGAATGTTACATTCTGAATTTGTTTCAACGCCAGAGCAATCACTAATAACCTCTAAATGCTTCGGTAAGATAGGAGCGGGGCAGTAAGTTTTACCTCCTTCGCAAGGTTTTACTTTGCTCCAAAGCCCGGGAAAAAGACAGGTAGTTGCGTTCGGTCCCGAAATTTTAGCTGTCGGATTATCACGACAAGTGAGGTTGCAGCTTATACCAACATTAGGACTACAAATCCCTGTTATCCTTACATTTCCAGGAATCGGGGGAGGAAACGCGCACCGCATGCTGAACAATTTATAAGGAGAGAGCTCATTCGGAAAACATTCGGGAACATTAATCCATCGACTTTTATAACAAATGATAAAGTTCTGTCCTATGAGTACAAACTGATTAATGCATCTTACTTGACATCTTTCCCTTTCTTTAAAAGTACATTTATCTACAAATTGTATGTAAGGATGCAAGTGATTTCTGTTACAATTAGACGTTCTGTAAAAGTTTTCAGGTAAGCAGCGAGGAAGTCCCATCCATTTAGACAACTGAGAACAATGCACTGTGCTATTTCCTTGTAATATCCCCTCTCTACATTCTACTTGACAGACAGATCCTGTACTCTGTTTGCAGTCACAAGTAAAGACCAAGTATTTCGGTAAAGGCGGGCACTTCTCTCTGAGAACACAATGAAGTTTAGTAACCCACTTCTTTTTCACGCATTGTAGTTCGTGCCAACCTTCTGGTCCGTAACCCTTTTTACACTTTATCAGACACACCGAACCTTCATTTCTGAAGCAATTGCTTTCTATCAAACTGTTCTCATCAAGCTTTGGCTCAGGACATTGGGAATTCTTTATTCTGTCATCCCAAAAATGAATTTTTGCATTTCGGCAATGTGGTAAATTTTTCCAGCTTCCAGATGATCCACAGTAAGCTTTTTTAATGGAAACAATTATTTGAGGATATATTTTGACGTTCGGTACATAAGTGTAAACTCGACAACCAACTTCACAAAATTTATTTTGGGATGCTTTGCAAGTGGGATCGATGAAACTTACTTCCATAGGAAGGGATTCTTCTGCACATTGCAATCGGGCATTACACGTAGGCAGAGGTGACCATTCACCTGAAGGCAGACATGTTGATGCGAGAGGCATGACCTTTTGATTGGGGCATCGAATCTAAAATGAAAAGAGTCCTTTTTGAAAAATTTAAGCAAGCTAAAGCTTTTTTGTGGAAAAAAAGTTAAAAAATACCAGGAAAAAACAGATATAGTGTTATCAAATAAACATTTTATTTTAATAATTTTTCTTGATGTTTTATTGCACTTCCGTCCCTTTAAAGTTAAATGAAAGGTTTAGAACTTTTTACTAATTTACAATAATTTCCTTCATTACATGGATTAATTTTTAAAATCACTAGATTGAATTTTTGAACATAATTACTGCAGAATTCAGGGATTTCTGTAAAAGGACATTTATTTAATAATTTATAAGAATTCTATATTCACACTTTGCAAGCAAAAACAACATTCGCAAATATTAACTCTCTTAAAACTACAAATTTCAATTTTAAAAAAAATTAAGGTCCCACTTTTATATAAAGAGAATAAATTCTTCACTTTTAGTGTAGGATCATAGAATTCGTAAAACATTTTAATGCTATTAGGTTTATGAATTAAGTTTTTAAGAGTGCACCATAATAGCAGAGAGTGAAGGGCTAGTTCATAAAATTAAGAAAGTTACAAGTCAAGTCTTAAAGTGTGATAAAATTCATTGGATCAATGTAGCTCTATTTCTTACAAACCTTACAAGAAGTATCTTGATTTCTAGAGCAGTCTACGAGCTCAGCAAACTTCAAAGGCGGGCATTTTAGACTTAGTGATGGGGCGCATTTGGGAAACATTTTTCCATCTTCTATACAAAGTAGGGCAAATTTACTGTTGCCACAATTTACTGTACAATCATTTGAGATTTCGGAACAACTTCCGAACTTAACGAATAAAGCCAAAATGTCGGTACAGTGCGACTTCTGGCGGTAGACTCCTGAACTTGTTGCAGTCAATTTGATTCTAAAGCATGTCGAGAGATCTTGGAGATCAACTGGAAGGTTGTTGCATCTAATCAGATCCAAACTGGAAGATTTTTTCAATGGCGACGGGCAGTCGGGGAGAATTTCCCATTCGCCAATTTCGAGGCATTGAATGTAGTGTTTCCAAATCTCAATACCATTCATTTCACAAACAACTTCACAAATGTCTCCGAATTGATTGCTACACAGTTCACCAATTTTTAAATTCGCTGGTAAATTCAGCTGTGGACAAATGGAGCTTGTGACGTGTGCTAAAAAGAAAAATTTGTAGTTTTTAATTAATATCGAAACATAAAGCTGCTTAAATAGTTATGTGATTTATTAATATTTACTACACAAAAATGGATTCATATTTTCGTATTAACTCATCCCAATGATCAAAGTTATGATGGAATTAAAGAAAGATATCTTCAATATAGCAGCTTGGTTGGTTGGTTCTAATGCCACACGGGCAAGCTTGTTTGGTGAAACCAAGCAAATTTAAGGCAGAGTGTGCGATTCTTGTTTTTCAGTGGCGCCATCTATGGCCAAGAATTCGACTTCTGCCACATCATACGTCACACCGGTTTATAAGTCGGACACATTCATACATCCATTCATTCATCCGCAGATCGTAATTTTGACCTGAATCAAAGAACGATCGATATCCAATCCAGTACCTCCAGATGTATTGATTTGTTATGGGAACATGGAGGACTTTGCGACTCGACAGAATTTTAACGTGCATCAGTCACCAACTACACGGGGAGTCTTGGGCCGGCGGAGTTTGAACCCACGAACTCTCGGACATGGGCCCAGCGCCCTACCGATCAGGCTATCCCGGCCTAATATAGCAGTAAAACACAGAAATATAAGTTTTATGTATTTCAAAATTATAGTGAGATTTTTTAAGGCATCCCAACAAAGCAATAAAAACTAACACATAGCAATGTAGCGATCTGAGAAAGTAAAACCTTACTGGTGACTGTAGAACTTATTTTCAAACTCGTTTGACGAAAATAGTTTTGTAAAATTGTTAAAAGAGTTAGTTTTATCTAATTTTACTTATTACTGCGTTTTATTAATTTGATATTTTTGAATCTACACGTTTTTGCACTCTTGTTATCGAAATTACGACTACTTTTTGAGTAGCTAGGATACTCAAATCTTTCCTGGAGTTTCGTGTTTGATGCCAATGTAAACATCAATCGTTTCCTGACCATTAAAAAAAAATTCGTTCTTTTGCAGCCAAACAGAATTTCTCATTTATGAAAATTTCAACCACTTCGCGACTGGCTGTAATGTTTAAATTTAAACCAAAATTTTGTGTTTCAATCGTTTTCTAAATTGTACAAGTAAAATTTATTACTATTTTATTTATTACTATTCTATTAAAATTTATTATTATTATAACTGCCACAACTTTCCACAACTAACCGTCAAACTCAAAAGAAGTGAGTAATAAAATAAAAAAAATATGTAATTATAAAACACGTTTTCTAAGTGGAAAAAAAAGGAAATCTTATTTTTCTCAGATTCAAAATGAGAAATGTACGGCGTATCACTTTTGTAATAGTTCTTCTTATGTCTTCTGGGTTTGCGTGATAAAAACCAAATTATTTCACCTTTTTAGCCAATTTTTTTTAAAAAAATGCAGTTATTGACTTTTTAAATTTTTTTTTTTAAACTCTTAACGCTCCTTCTCGCTCCCGTGATAATGACGGGGTGAGGATTCGCCCTCGATTTCTCGCTCTCGTGAAATTTCCGGACTGGAGTGTTCAGTAGTAACATGCCAATAGGAATAAAACTAATTCATTTCATTTGACCGGAAAACATTTTATTACTCATTTTACACACCAGATGGCAGTACCGGGATATTTTTAAGATAATTGTGGATAGTTATTTTATTTTAAACTAGATGTCAGCACTAATCAAATACTTGTATTTGGCAAAATAGACACTTTTATGACCGTTTTCTTGAAAATTACCCGACCGTTAAGGAGTTAAACAGACGTCGAACACTGGCTACGCTTGGTTGGTATGTAAAATGTATAGCATGACAGTCCAAAATCACAATGTTGGACATTAAATATTTCCACGTAAATCATGACTTAGAACTTGTTTTGACATTCGTTAGTCCTCTGAGTTGAATTCAGAATGTGAAAATTTGATGATTCAAATCCCATACGTGTATATGATCCTTGTCGATTTGATGTAAGATTATTTCCTTGAGTTTTGCTACGCACGGAATGATGAATAAAAAGAAAAGAAAAAAAAATTGGAAAGTTTCTCTTTTTTGTCAGAGATCCTTAATTATACACTTGATGTAAAAAAACTATTATGGTACAATTCAAACTTTGCCAATCATTAAAATAATGTATTTAATGTAGCGTACAAAATAATAAATAAAAAGTAATTTCAAAAATTATAAATATTTAAAAATTATAAATATATTTTTGTTCGGAATCATAGCTGGATTAAAACATTTTATAAATGGTACAAATTTGTTTTTGATACTCATAAATTTTTCAGAGACTTCGTGAAATGTGCTGAAACTAAAATTAATGTTAAGTGGATTAAACTTTTGACTTTTTAAAACTTTGATCTTTTTTTTTATAAAACGATTTCCTTTTGTATAAAAAACACTAAATTCTGTAAAATAAATGAAGTTACGAAAATATTTTTTTTAAGTAATTATAGGTTATAGATCTAAGTACACTTTGTTTCTTTTAATGCTAACTAAAATTTGTATTTAATGAGCCATTTAATGATTTAATATCTAAGAATAGGATCAACGGAGTAAACTCTAACAAAGCACATAAAAAGAAAGACCAAGCACATGTTTAAGAAAATCAAAGCATAAAAGATGTAAGAAAGATATTCAAAAAAATTGTTATTGTTTCACATACTTACTCGACACCATCAGAATTAAAATCTCAGTGCACCAAGCTTTTTTAAAAACGACAATCTAAAATAGAATATTACGTAATTGAAATTAGCTTATTAAAATGCTCACCATACATAGCATGTCAAGTTATTTGAAATATTCGATATTTCTCAGCAGTTTTAGCAGATAGTAATGAAGAAAAAAAATTGTATTCCAACTGCTATGTAAGTTACAGAAATTAAGATGATTCTGGTCATTGCTTTTATAGGTTCACTATTCAATAAAAACGATTTCAGGTGTCGCCAATTTGTTACTCTTATATGTTAGTAAAAATGTAAAAGTTTCCATGTGAAGTACTACGCAAAGACTTTATTTGTTTCTATTTTTCTCAATATCGCGAGGAAAAAAAAAGATACAAACAAAGGGCTATTCAACTTTATTTTGTTAATTTACAAAATAAACTCATTCCCAGACTCTTCTTGACTAACCTCCCAAAGTGAATTTAAATCTGTGTTAAATCAAGGTTGTTTCCTAGAATAGGCTATAATGTGTGAAAATCTAGAACAAAAGTTGGCTCAAATAAAGGTTCAGCAATTAATTTTCTTTTGGGATTCTCTAATCCCATTTCGCATTGTTCAGCAGACCCCTCTCAGTAAATGATCATGACCACCTCGAAAGAAAACTGAAAGAATTTCAATTCTGATTAAAAATAAATAAAAAAGGAAAAAACCGGAATTTTCTAATATTATTTTTTTGCTTACAACCAAAAAATTCTAGGCTCAAAGATTTTGGGTTTTACCATTCTTACTTTATGCTTAAAATACTGTAGTGATCACAAAAATACATTGCCTCCTTTTCAATGCTGGAAACTACAAACTAAGAGAGAAACCGGGCTTTTAGAGAAATAAATTATCTTATGCACTTAAAAATGCAACAAGTTAACATGCAATAAAATACTGTAGTAATCACAAAAATACATTGCCTCCTTTTCAGTGCTGGAAACTACAAACTAGGAGAGAAACTGGGTTTTTAGAGAAATAAATTATCTTATGCACTTAAAAATGCAACAAGTTAACATGCAATAAAATACTGTAGTAATCACAAAAATACATTGCCTCCCTTTCAATGCTGGAAACTACAAACTAGGAGAGAAACCGGGCTTTTAGAGAAATAAATTATCTTATGCACTTAAAAATGCAACAAGTCAACATGCAATAAAATACTGTAGTGATCACAAAAATACATTGCCTCCTTTTCAATGCTGGAAACTACAAACTAGGAGAGAAACCGGGTTTTTAGAAAAATAAATTATCTTATGCACTTAAAAATGCAACAAGTTAATATGCAACAAAATTTGATTCTAATCGGAATTATTAGTTAAGAATATTTAAAATCAATAGTGTCTACGATTTGCTTTACATTAGCAGTAGGCTTTAATTGTTAGTAAAAGTTTTACTAATATTATCAATATCATTTCAATGTATTTAATGTTGATTTATAAGTGTTAAATAAAACTCACTTTTGTCACTTGATGTAGCTTTAACATATTTACTTTTTCATTGTTTTTTTAAGCTCCGATGTTAATGTAAATAACAGTTCGGGCACTGAGGACTATTGTTGTTTGAGTTTGGATTTATTTATAACACCTTTGATGCCAAAGAAATTTCTATAACTTTATGTTCGTATAATTTTAAGGCCATACTGGATCACAAAGCTATTTATACTCCAGTTATTAAACAATGATACGAAACATTTTTTGCACACATTTTGATGCTATGCTTATGTTAATCAAATTTAAGCTCGCAAAGAAATAGTAAAAGATTAAAAAAATATTAATCAATTGGGTATAATATAGCCTACGTCACAGGTTGTGTTGTTCCTACTAAATTTAACCCATGAACGGCATTTTCTGCGAGCCTAACTTCAAGCCACAAATAAACAAACGAAGTGTTCGATCGTTTAAATAGCTGCTCGCCAGATTTTATTGCATTATAAAGAAAAGTTATTGAAACTAAATACAACTAAATAAACAACAACAACTAAAACAAATAACAACAACTACTAATAACAATAACTAAATAAACAACAACTAAATTCCATTCGTTTAGCATTGCGTCATATGTTGTTCCTACTAAATCGAAGTAGTTGTGTTTTTTCCATATTATACCCAATTAAATATTTGCCAGAGTTATATAAAGTTTATTGGGATGAGAATAACTGATGATTAATTTCGAAATTATTAAAAGTGTTCATTACATACACTTTGTTTATCCGTAGATTCATTGCTGTCATGTTATTAGTTTTTCTGTTTATCTTTTGGTAACTAAAATATTAACGATAAAATAAAAGTCATATTTTTGTTGGAAAAACGAAATTTTTTGTATCTAAAGTTATTGTCTGTACAAGATGCTCCAAAATAACTTTCAAAAAGTTTAAGATATTTTGAACCAGATATTTGTCTTTAAATTTAAGTTCTTCTCCTTCTTGTTTTAATGTTGGTACGAAATTTATTGCTTCGGTAATGCACCAGAATGGCACACAAGGCTAAGACAAGCCTTGTGTCCTTATCACATCGGCTAAATCCTCACCTCCTATTCACAGTATCTTAAACAGTTTTGGAAAAGTGGGCTACAACATGGTTAAGGTGATTCTTGTGGCACGAATAAGAACAAATCTAAGCCGTGAAAATACAGACTATGTTCGAAAATTTCAGAAGAGGAATCCATCAAAAGAGGGGATTAAGGGGATTAGGGGTTATTATTAGGGGTTAGAGATTGAAGGGGTTAGTTCCATCAAAAAAAGTCCTCCACGAAAGTAAATTTCTCCCAATACTTGATCCAGGAGTTCCCTTGTCTTCTGGAGTGGGTTCAAAATTACAAGGCTATGGAATTGAGCATTAGTAGTCGTAAGCCCAAATTTTGGGCGGCTGTTCAAAGACGGTTATATACGTAAAAAAAATAGAGGTTGAAGCTGTGCATAGCCACTGAAAAAGGACGCTTTGAAATTTGTTCTATATGTTACCCCCAAAAAATCAATATTATTGTTATGCATTTCGCTAATTTTCTCTTGTTTAATAGATCTACAAGGTGATTATAAAATAACTTATTAAACATAAGACCCTTTAGATAGCATACGGCTACGAATTAAAGGAATAAAATTTTGCATTAAAATTTCATTTTTCAAAGGGTATTATTTACCTTACACATGTCTAAAATATTATAAGCATCTCGTATATTATTATTACAATTTTCTTATAGATTGTCTGAGTATAGTGAAAAAAACTCTCACTGTTACGGTAACAGGGACAGAATTTTAATTTGGAAAAGAAAACATTTAAAGCAAGTTTTTTTTGCATGAGAGAAGAGGGCCAGACAGAGGTGGAGAAAAGAACATTTAAAAGTTATTGACGTGTAAGCTATTTTGTTCTATGATGATAGAAAAGAATAAGAGAACATAATGATTTGCATACAGCCATCCTGTTCTTTTCATTCCTGTCCAGTGTCTCTACTATTCCCGCTAAAATTATCGTCACAGTACTCAATTTGAAGTATTTTTACTGTAAGGAGCACGTTTGAGTGAAAGAAAAAGTAGGTGTTGTAGTCCTCTTTCAACTCTTTTTCCTTTAAAAAAAATAAAAAAGAAAGAAAAGAAAACCCAAATAAATCACATGAAAATAAATTCTACGTTAAATTAGCTGATAGTTTAATATGTTGTAATACGTCAAATAAGTACCATAGTTTCCTTCCACACTTTTGAAACTTGAACTTAAATATAATAATAAGTTATTCAATTATAACTTTATTTCGGAAGGAAAAATAGATTTAAAAAATAGTTAAGTTTGTGAAAAAAAGGTAAATTTATCTTTTATGTAATGAAAGAAGAATGAACTCTCACCTGGGAATTTCCGTAAATGTTTTCAATGTTTTGAAGAAAAAAAACTTATCTCTACGAATTGGAATACAATGAATACAAAAATTATTTAAAAAAAACTATATCTTGGACTGTATTGGAATAGTTTTTAGCAAAAGTTATTTTAACAAAACTTATAACTTTGGCTGTCTTGGAACAATTTTAATTCAAAAAATATTTTAATTGTTATAGCAATTCAATACTGTAGAACATTCGTTTAATTATTTGATATCAATTTGCGCTTCGAAAATGATTTTCCCCATGTGCTACGTTTGAGTTGATTGTTCAAGAACTATAATAAAATGGAATGTTTTTCTTCAGCCATATTTTACTTTTCAAATCAATCTTTTACCTTAGAAAATCATGAAAATTAACTAACCACTATACTTCCTTCGCGTGATTTAATTCTAGCACGTGTTTTATTCATGCGGTAAATTATTTTAATTTCATCTACTCTTTATAGCATGCAGCTTATCTTTAAGGTTAAAATATAATTTTGATTCATCCTTGCGAAGGGTAATTTTGCATACTTTTTATCTAAAAACACTTATGATTTGAATGAATTGATTAAATTGACATTCTAAATTGTTTTTACCACATCTATTAAATAAATGATAGCTATTCTTATTTAACGCTTGTTCATCAAAATTAATTAATGCATTACTTGTACTTCTCAAAAGATAAAATATTTGATGGCAACTAGCAGTAGGACTAGATCAGTAAAATGACCACACTAGTATACCACACTTAGTAGTCAAGTAAATCGAAAAAGTAAATTATAGTAAGATGGCTTTTACATGCATCCAATCAGCATAATTAATTTTCGTTTAATTTAATCAAATCAGTCAATGGTTAGAGGTGCTTAAAAATTATCGATATTTTTTTATGAATTATGTATTCTATTCATAAAATATTGAAAGATCTAAAAGTTACATTTTGCAGTTATTTAAATAAGAGCTAAAAAAAATTCATAAATAATTTTTAAATTTTTAGTTTTTTTATTTTCATACTGTTAAAAAATCTAGACTGAAGGAGGAAGAAACGAACGGGGTAAATTCTTAAAGTTTTGAAGTTTTTGCTTGAAGTTAGAACTGTTCGATGTTTCATAACCTTTAACCTTTTGTGAAATTTATCAGGTTTCTTCCTTTCGTTTTCCTGAGTTTCATTTATAATGTATTTTAAGAGCAGTCTGAAGATTTGTTCACAATTATTTCGAAAGTTTTTTTTTAAAAGATTAGGTAATTTTCTAAGAATGTATTGCTTCGAAATTTATAGAATAATTGTCTTCATGTCTGATTTATATCTATTGGAAGGTATCTTCTTCCAAAAAAACATTCTGTAGTTTCTGTTCATTCTTCTTTACTTAAACATCTTATCGTTGTATCTTTCGCAGTTATACCATTTATTCGACATACAACCGGGCAGGTGTCACCGATTGTTTTATCTACACAATTTGAATCGAAAACCAAACCAAAATCAAGTTTAGGTTTTCTACAAAATGTAGAAAAGTATTTCTGTATTATGCATATAGTATATGACTAGTCAATTGCTGTACCATTTCTTTTACACCTAATTTCACAAAACTGTCTTTTGCTCTCAACCTTACATATATGTGTGAGACGTTTTTCACTGTTTATGGTTTGGCATGAGCAGTCTGGTAATCTTCTTGCCCATGACTCAACTCTAATAATCCACTCAGTATAAAGGGAACATTTCAAAGAGCGATTTTAATAAACCTTGCAAGTCAACTCACAATCGCCATGTATATTTATTTTACAACAGATCTCAGTAATATTAAAGAAAAAGAGTGTTTGCTTTTCAGTGGTCATTCTTGAACGCAGGCTGGTAACGATGACCATCTGATGTTTTCAAGACATGTTATTTCTCTTTTCCCAACCAGTCTCCTTCCTCCCTCACAAGAAACATTGCAATTATGTCCTCTTTTCGTGATACTGCAGTTTCCTTCCGATTTCATGCCTGTAGGCAAAGTTAGGGGTGGGCAAGCGCAATCAGGAAATGAATCCCATTCATCTCCACCTAAGCATCTGATGACATTATTTCCTAAAATAGTTCCATTTTCTATGCAAGTTATCTCACATGATTCCTTAGGGATTTTCGAGGAACAATTATCTTTGACAATCAAATAGACTGGAAGTGTCGGCTCAGTGCAAGTAAGAGAACAATTGGGCAGTGCTGACCATGTAGAGTTTTCAAGGCACGTAATTAATCCCTCTCCTACTAATCTGCTTTCACCTTTACAACTAACACTACAGCTTTCTCCTCGCTTTATAAAAGTGCAATTCTTGTCAGTTCTTAAATTTTCAGTAAGAATGGGTGAAGGGCATGCGCAATCCGGGAATGGACTCCATTCTCTGTTACTCAAACATGTAATCGTAGTGTTTCCTATAGTGTTCTCTTCGTTCACGCAGCTAACTTCACATGATTCATCGGGAAGTTTTGATGAACAGTTAACTTTGATCATTAAATAGGCTGGAAGTCTAGGTTCAGGGCAAATAGGAGAACACTGTGGCAGTATGGACCACGTGGAATTTTGGAGGCAGACAATTGTTTCATCCCCTATCAATGTAGTATTTTCTTTGCACTTAATTCTACAATATTCTCCACGCTTGCTAAAAGTGCAGTTTTCTTTAGGTTCTAAATCAGCATTCAAAACTGGTGGTGGACACATACAATCAGGGAATGTGCTCCATTTGAGTTGATCTAAACATCTAATTTCAGCACTGCCTACTAATTTACTATTCTCTTTGCAAGTAACCTCACAAGTTTCGCCAATGGCTTTTGAAGAACAGTTCTCCTTTAAAATTAAATAGATAGGAAGTACGGGTTCGAAACATATCGAAATACATGTGGGCAAAACGGACCACTTGATGTTATCCATGCACGATACTTTATCTTGTCCAATTATTTTTCTTTCTCCTTTGCAGCCTATTTGACAGGTTTCTCCTCGTTTCTTAAATTTACAGTCCTCTTTTATTTCGACATCTTCAGTTGAGAGTAGTGATGGGCAAGTGCAATCAGGCAATGCACTCCATTTATATTCCGTTAAACATATAATAGTATCATTTCCAATAATCATACTGTTCTCCTTGCATAGTAATTCACAAGCTTCTCCAATAGTTTTAGATGAGCAATTAAACTTGGATGTCAAGTAATCAGGCAGAGTAGGTTTTACACACAGAATCGAGGTGCACTTAGGCAATTCTGACCACGTAGCGTTATTTGAACAAAATAACGTTCCTTTATCTATTAATTTGTTCTTATTTTTACAAATCACTTTGCAAGTTTCCCCTCTCCTTTTTTCAGAACAACTTTCTTCTGTTTTCAATTCATCTGTTAAAATTGGTGGTGGACACATGCAATCAGCGAATGAGGTCCACTTGCGATATTTCAAGCATTTAATGTGCGAGTTTCCTACAATTTTACCGTTTTGTCTGCAGCTTAAGTAACAAGAATCACCGATGCCTTTAAAGGAGCAGTTTTCTTTAAATATCAAATACTCCGGAAGTATAGGTTTCTTGCATATTGTAAGACAAATTGCTGCAAAACTCCATCTGGTATTATTTTTACATTTGATCAAAGGGTTACCTTTAAATTTAAAATTTGGTTTGCATCGTATCCTACACATGTCTCCTATCTTTCTATCTGTACAGTTCTCCAACATCATAAAGTTTGATGGCAAATCGGGCTTTGGACAAGTACAATTTGGAAAAGCACTCCATGTTTCATTTTTCAGGCATGTAATTCTGTCAAGACCTTGAAGCATGCCTCCTTCTCTGCATGACACCCTGCAGGATTCACCATATCTTTTATAGCTACAATCTTCGTTTAATTTTAATACATGAGTTTCAATATTTGGTTCAGGGCATAAAGGAACAGGTTCGCATTTAGGAAGAGGTGACCAAGTGGCATTCATTAGACATGTTACATTATTTTTACCTTTAAATATAAAGTCACTAATACAGCTCAGTTTACATGTCGTGCCAATTTTTCTTGTACAGTTATCTTTAAAAACTAAAACACCTTCTTTGAGAATTATCCTTGGGCATAGTTTCTCAACGCATCGAGGCAACGCACTCCATTTGAAATCACTTTGGCATACAATGAAGCTCTTGCCCGAAATCTCAAACGATTTTTTGCACTTAAGCCGACAAATTTCATTCTTCAACTTTATGGAACAATTTTCTCTAGAAAGCAACGAATTTGTTAGTTTTGGTTTCTGACAGACTCCTTCAGAACACTTTGGTAAATTTGTCCACGTTCCTTCTCTTAAACACCGAATAAAAACTTTCTCTGGATTTTTCTGCTTGATTTTGCATTCCAAAAAGCATTTTTCACCTGCAGTTTTATTAAAACAAAATTCACGAAATTTCAGTTCGTTATTTAATTTAGGTAAAGGACAAGAACATGTTGGAAACTTCGACCAGTTCATTGTAGAGTTACATTCAATAAAACTTTTGTTCCTTATTCCACCACCATGCTTGCACAATAGCTCACATCTTTCATTTTCCCCTTTAGAAGAACAGTCCTCTTTAAACAGTAAATGATTTGGTAAATTTGGTTTTGGGCAAACTCTTTCTTTACATTTTGGCTGACTTGTCCACTCTGTATTCTGCAGGCATGTTATAAAAGTTTTTCCTTCAAGCATCAGATTTTTTTGGCATTTTAAGAAACAATTTTCACCAGCAGTTTTAAGCGTGCAATTTTCAGAGGTAATTAAATTCGCTCTCAAATTAGGTCTAGAACAAGTACATTTTGGAAATAACGTCCATTTAAAATTTTTTAAGCAAGTAACTGTGTTTGCACCAACAAACCTGCCACCCATTTTGCATAATAATTTACAAATATCTCCAGATTTTTTTCCCTTGCAATCTTCATCAAATAATATATAATTTGGAAGTATTGGCTTAGGACAATGTTTCGGTTTGCAGGAAGGAAAAGCTGTCCAAAATAATTTTTTATCACATTTTATAGACTTGAAGGACTGTACCTGAAATTTACTTTTACAAGCAACTGTACAAGTTTCTCCTGGTCGCTTTATGGAACAGTCTTCTAAAGGTTGCAAATAATTCGGATAAGCAGGAATTGGACACGAACATATTGGAAGACGTGACCATTTATTGATAGTGAGGCAAGTAATCTTGTTGCTCGGTATCGTTTTACCTCTTTTGCGGCATTCAAGTAAACACTTATCTCCTATAGATTTGGATGAACAATCTTCTTGAAAGATCAACTCATTTGGAAGTATTGGCCTGGAACAAAATATTTTTTGGCATCTCGGCAGTCTGCTCCATTTTGTATCATTCTGGCATGAAATATACTTTTTCCCTTCAAGAATTGAATTACCAGTACAAGCCAAGGAGCAAGTTTCACCCGGAGTTTTGAAGTTACAGTTTCCAAGTGTTTTCAAACTACTTTCTAAAGACGGAGGTGGACAAGAACATTTTGGCAAAGATGTCCACGAAACTGCCTCTTTTGATCCTGTACAAACTAACAAGCTTGGTTCTATTAAAGTACCACCTTCACGACATTCTAAATTACACTTTTCTCCTACATATTTTGATGAGCAATCTTCAAGAAAATTCAAATGATTAGGAAGTTTTAGAATCGGACAAGGTGTCCTTTTACATTTTGGAATAGATGACCATCGAGTATCACTTTGACATGTGATGTAACTTTTACCTATTAAGTAAAATGGCTTTCTACATTTCAATTGACAAGTTCCACCAATTTGGATATCATTACAGTGAGTGTTTTCTTCAAAATTATCAATTAAGTCTGGAGGAGGGCAAGAACAGTTTGGATAATCACTCCAGCTAGTGTAATTTATACATGTGATGTATTTTGAGCCATGAATTTTACCCCCTTCTCTACATTCAACTTGGCAATTTTTGCCAGGAGTAATACTTGTGCAGTCGCCAATGTAGGATAATACTTTCGGAAGTTTTCGCTTCTGACAAGTTTTGAGTTTGCAAATAGGAAAAGGACTCCATCTTGTGTCATTTTGGCATAATATGAAAGGATTTCCTTGTGATACGAAATCATTTTTACAAGTTAAGGAACAAGGCTCCCCAGGCAAAGTTTGAAAGCAATTTTCTTTCAATGACAAATAATCAGGAACATCAGGAGGAGGACAAGCACAAATTGGAGGTTGAGACCATTGTAAGGTTTTTAAGCAAGTAATTTTATTAGAGTCAAGTATAATCCCTCCAGATCGACATTCTAACTCACAGTGTTCACCTATTGTTTTTGATGTACAATCTTCACTCAATAAAAGTGTATGTGGAATAGCTGGTTTACGACAGATAATTCTTTTACATTTTGGTAAAGGGCTCCATTTCAAATTACTTTGACACGTAAGTTTAGCGTGGCCAACTAAGTGAGCGAAACCTTTGCAAGCTAAAATACAATTGCCCCTTGGAGCTACTTGGTAACATTTATTTTTAAATTCTAATTCTTTTGTAATACTAGGAACTGGACAGGTGCAATTTGGTAAGTTTGACCAAAAAAGTCCATCAATACATTTTATTTTACCATCTGAAACAAATGAGCCCCCTTCTTTACATTGTAGCTGACAGTATTCGCCTGAACTTTTTGAGTTGCAGTCCTCATTATCGACAAGAGAATTATCTAATTTTGGCTTGGGACATAACATTTTCTCACAGACAGGAAAAGCAGTCCATTTTAAATGTTTCAGACAAGTTATAGTTGATAACTTCTGCATATGATATCCTGGTATGCATTTTAAGCTGCATTTTCCACCAGGATATTTTAAACTGCAGTTTTCTTTGAGTATGATGGGATCTTTAATGAATGGAGGAGGGCAAGTACATTTTGGATATTTAGTCCAACTTTCTGAAGTCTGACATGTAAGAGTAAATTTGATTTGCTTGCGGTGTTTGCAATGTATTTGGCACTCTTGCCCTATTTCTGAACCGTGGCAATCTTTCATGAATTCTAAATGCCCAGGTAATTTAGGTTGCGAGCAATAACTTTTACCTCCTTCACAGGGCATGACCTTACTCCACAGTCCAGGTGGAAGACAAGTAGTTGCATTAGGACCTGATAATTTAGCCGATGAATCACGGCATTCGATGTCACAACTACTTCCTCCTTTAAGATTACATAAACCAATTATTTTTAAGTTTCCTGGAATTGGAGGTGGATATTGGCAGATTATATTTACCAATTCGTACGGTGAGTGTCTTTGTGTAGTGCATCGAGGAATGTGCAACCATTGGCTATTTTGACAAGTAATAAAATTCAATCCAACCAGAACAAATGGCTGGATGCATTTTATTTGGCACCTCTCTCCATCTTTAAAAGTGCATTTATCTACAAATTGTATTCTTGGAGGTAATTGTTTCAATAAGCAGTTTGTTTTGTTATGCTTTTGAGGTGAACAGCTCGGAAGATTTAACCACTTTGATGAATCAGAACAATATACTTTGCTATTTACTTGTAATATTCCACTTCTGCATTGAACTTTACAAACAGATCCAGCTGTCATCTTGCAGTCAGAAACAAATGTCAAATGTTTGGGTAAAGTTAGACATGTTGCTTTTTGGGACAAAACTTTTCCATTAGGACACCGAATCTGCAAAGATAGAACAATTGTCACAGATTAATATTTATTTTACTACTTTCGGAGCATAAAATATTTAGCGAATTTTCGAACAAATTCAAATTCAGTTTTTTTTCAAACGCACCAATAATTAATCAGCTTTAGAATTGAAATATCTACATCGAAATTTTTAATAAAAATACTATTACTTCTGTCATAATGCCTTAAACTGTCAACTAAGTAGACTGTACTGTTTGTGTAAAAATTTAAATGATTTAATAATCTAATACTCTGCACATCTCACTTATGTTTTCACTATGGCCAGCGTGAAACCGTGGGCATTGTCAACATCTGAATTAATTACTTCTTATGCTTAACGCAAAGGGCACTCGTAAGGAACTTCATTACTCATTCTCCATTTACTTCTTTCCGTCCTTCAACAACTACAACTTCTTTCAACACATTGTTTAAAAACGTTTTGAAGTTTTCATAAATTAAATAGCAGATAAATATATTAAAATGATTTGTTATCCATAAAAGAAGGAAGCAGAAGAATTGTACACAAAATCAAATTTTTTAATAGTTTACTGGCATTTGGATTTAATTGTTGTGTTTTTTATTTATAAATAGTGTGCGTTTGTATTAATTTCACTTCATGCTTCTGAAATTTCTTTGCATTTTAGTCTTTCCTTGCAAACTTTTAATGGCGAGCGTAGAACAGTTTTCGCCAGAAAGAATTACAACTCTTGTAGGCTAAAGTAATAATTCAAAGAAAGCGATAAAAAGTAACTTTAGGAATAAGTATAAAAAGTCTAACTAGTTTTTTTCAAACTTTTTACTTACAAACCTTACAAGAAGTACCTTCGTCTCTTGAACAATCCATGAGTTTAGCAAATTCTAAGGGTGGACATTTCTTAGATTTTGTCATAGATTTAGTTGGAATTTGTGAACATTGAGGTTGTGCATTACCGTCTTCTAAACAGAAGACTGTAAATGTGTTAGCACCACTAATAACTGTGCAATAATCTGTAGTTATGGAACAGTTGCCAAATTTAATAAATAAATTCAAAGCGTCAGAACAATGCGAATTTGAGTCCAATACCGCCATCTTGACTCTTATACAGTTAAAATGAGGCCCAATATTTGCAGACAGATGATTGCATCTCATCAGTTGCAATTTAGAAGAACTCTTTGATTGCAGATGGCAATTTGGGAGCTTTTCCCACTGCCCACTTTCTAAACAGCGCATACGATATTTCCATATTTCTTGACCATTTATAATGCACATGACTTCACAAGTTTCCCCTAACTGGATATCACAAATTTTGCCAATTCTAACATTCTTTGGCAGTTTAGATAGTAGACAATTTTCTTCTGTAGGTTGCGCTAAAAAAATGGGAAGATAATTGTAAAATTTTAATGATGAGCGGGCACGTTAAAATTTTATAAAGAAAAATACTTTTACAGAAGAACATTTTAAATATTTATTCACTTGTTTTAGACATTCATAGTTTTTGTTAAAAATTCATTTTGGCTACAAACATATGTGCACTAATGTTTGATAAATCCTTGGGCTAACAATTGATAAATCATAGGCCTTGGGCTTGGGTTATACTTTGTGATCTCTAAGAAAGAAAACACCTGAACGCAAAATTTATTAAACTGAGAAATATTCAAAATTAAAGAAACAATTATCAAAGCTTCCAAAAATGGCAAGAAAGCGAATGACATTAAAAACGCTGTCTTCAAGACCGAGAATATTGGCTTTATTAGGTGTTTAAGATTATAATTTTTATTAATCATAACATGCACTGTGAGCCACCCTGAATAGCTTTTGAGCTAATGATCGGATCTTCACGTTTTAGACTCATTCTTAATGGTTCGAGGGGGTGACCTCAAATATGCTAATTAATTAGTGCAGACGATATTTAAAATTACGAGATCAGCTACACCTTCAGCGATGTACCTTTTTTTCCCGATGAATTTGGATTTCTGACCTCTGAAGTATAGGGGGTACTAATCTGGAAAATATGGTCCCCATTTGGTCAGGAGAGCAATCCATAGTTTCGACTCCTTAATGTTAATTTTACCTTTTGCGAATTTTGCCATATCTATAAAAAATTTTAAGCGAATTGAAATATTTTTGAGGACAATTGTATAATTTGTCCATCCAAAGATAGTTCCATGCAGAGAAATTTTTTTGCAAATATTTATTATTTTATTAAATAGCAGTCGAAAATATTTTGAATTGTAAGGTGTAAAACGTCATTTTAAAGTATGTACAAGACAAAATGCAAAATTTGAGCGAAATCAATAGAATAGTTATTGAGAAATCAAATTTCAAAAAAATCATATATTTAAAATTCAATTTCTCAGAAACTATTCAACCAATTTCGCTTAAATTTTGCATTTTGCCAAGCAAATTTGAATACTTTAATATGACGTAAAACATTTTATACCTTACAGTTCAAAATTTTTTCGATTATTATTAAATAAAATAATAAATGTCTGCTAAGATCAAGTTTTTGCTTGGAATTATTTCAGGACAAATGAATTTTATACTTGCAGGCAATTTTTTTTTAATTAGCTTAAAAAGTTTTCGAGATAAGGCGAAATACGCAAAAAGTAAATTTAACATTGAGGGGTCCAAACTTTGGATCATTCTCCTGACCTAACTATGGGGACCATATTTTCCAGTTTGCGGTTTGGAAGTCAGAAATCTGAATTCTTCAATAAAAGGTATGTTTATTCAGAGAAATCACGTTTTTGTGCCTGATTTTGTAACTTAAATTATCGTCTGCATTAATTAATTAGCATATTTGAGGTCACCCACTCGAACCATTAAGAATGAGTCCTAGAGCGTAAAGATCCGGTCATTAGATCAAAAGTTATTTTGGGTGGAACGCTTTTTTTTCCTGGGGCCCTGTGCATTTTCAGATTTTGTTATTAGTCCTAATGTGTGCCATTTCAGATTTTAAAAAAAGTCAACAGCTTTCTCCTTAGAAAATTCTTTTAAATCTACGCAAAATTTTAGTCATATTAGATAAGCGTTTAAAAATATTGCATATTCAATTCAGATAATCATTTTTAGTTTTTTAACATGAAATAAACGTAATAAAATAAATTATAAGCTCTGTTGCAAGTTTAAAAGTGTTGCAAGTTAAGCAGCTAAATGCACGCCAAATAAATGCTAAGCTCCCAGCGTGAAATTATATTCTTGGTTTATTTTCTAGCATATAGGTTTATTTTCAAATCCCCAAATATAAGAAGGGATCCCGTTTGTAAACTATAACCATTCAATAAAATTAAAATTGAAAAAGTGTGAAAATACTCACAGTAACATAACAACATGATTATGATTGCATATAAACACCACACTTTCTTGAAAACGAGAAGCTAAGTAAGAAACGAGTAATTTTGTTTAAATTTATATAATATTAAAAAACAAAGAATAATTCAAGACAATCAATACAATGACATTCTACTAGTTTTAAATGTTTCTTAAGATGTAGCAAAAATTAAGATATAGTAAAATATAAAGTAAAAATTTTAAGTATTACGTTTTCTAGCATTCTAATAGGAAATTCAACTTATGTCTAATAGATCTAAAGTAATTCTTATGAACAAACATTATTTATTTATTGGACAAATATAATTATATTTTATTTACCTCTTTACTATTCATATGAAAATTTTTATTTCATTTGTCTGTTGAATTTAGATTCTCAAAATAATGAATCCAGTTGCTTACTATCAACATTTTGTTTTATATACAATAATTTTGCAGCCATAAAAAAATGTTTAAAAAGAAAGATTTTTAAAATCTGGAAAAAAAAAAACACAACATAACATTTTCATATGCTATAAAAATTTTTTTTTTTAAATTCCGGTTAGCATTAGCATAGAAGAAACATGTTAAAGGGATCATCATCAACATTTAGGGTAGCCGCAATGAGTGATTACGTGGTAAAAAGAAACAAATTCCGGTTTATCGTCGGATATGACATCACAAGCGCCATCGTCCAATAATAAACCATCTATAATTTCAATTCATCAATTGTGAAGACGGTTTTGAAAATATGAATTTATTATATTCTAATTAATTATTTCTATTTATTATTTCTATTTTTTTGTCTTTCTTGATTTATTGAAAAAAAAAACCATTTATTTTTAGAATTAAATTTGCATTTTTTTTAATCTCTTTTTTAAAAAGAAACCTTTCAAAGAAACTAATTGTGTTAGAAAAGAAGAAAAAAAAGAAAAAGAATAATTATTATTTATATTTTCTATTTAATATTTTTTTTAATGTTTATTTATGGTATTTTGGAAGAAATGCTATTCAAATCCGAAAACGGAAACACTTTTATTAATATATTTTATTTAAGCTTTTATCTCTCTATATTTCAGTAAATAAATAAATAATATAAATGAACAATCAAAAAAGAAACTATTAAACTATTTTAAAACTGCTTTATTTATTATTTCATAGAAGTTTTTTAAAAAATGCATGAAATTTTTTTAAAATTTTTTATTATAATTTTATAAATTATTTTTCTTAATAACATTTGATAAAACTAACGTGTATTTTTATCTCATTTAGTCTGTAAATTAATGCCTGCAGTTTAGAGACTTTTATTAAACCCAGTAACAAGCTGCAGGGGATGGTGGATAAAGCTTTATCACCTACTTAGTAGTGCTCTTATAGTACTAAAAGAACGAGTTAAAATTTCTGTCCCTTAGTTTTCTTTAAAGTCAAGAACTAAGTCTGACGACAACGCCCCATAACTTTCATAGCACACAAACTCTAATTAGTTATCTTTGACCATTTACCTGCTAATACTAATTTAGGCTTTTGTGTTAGCAGCACTAAAATATTTTCGTTCGTTGTTGGTAATGGGTATCTGTAGTTACCAGCAATCAAGCCTAATCTATCTACATAACTTTCGTAATTCACAAAAACTAGTCAGATCAAATCTTCGACCAATACTGATTTCAATTTTTGTACTAGTAGTACTAAAAAACAATTTTCAATATTAGCCCTCACCAATATCATTGATTAAGCGTGACCATGAACAACCAACCAATGTGATCTGACCAACTTTTGGTTGGTTGGTTCTAATGCCACACGGGCAAGCCTGCTTGGTGAAACCGAGCAAATTTCTTCTTGTTTTCAGTCATTATTTCTTCTTGTTTTTCAGTGGCGCCATCTATGGCCAAGAATTCGACTTATGCCACACCATACGTCGCACCCGCTTATAGGGCGGACCCATTCATACAGCCATTCATTCATCCACAGATCGTAATTTTGACCTGAATCAGAGAACGATCAATCTCCAATCCAGTACCCCCAGAGGTTTTGATTTCTTATGGGAACATGGAGGACTTTTGCGACTCGACAGATTTAACTTGCATCAGTCACTTTACTACACGGGGAGTCTTCGGCCGGCGGGGTTCGAACCCACGAATTCTCGGACATGGGCCCAGTGCCCTATCGACCAGGCTATCCCGGCCTTTTCACCAACTTTTAACACACACAAGCTTCAATCAGATAATATCAGAGATTATTTAGCGGCTAATATTGATTCAGTTTTTTTGTATCAGCACAAATATGAAATTTATAACTCTAAATTGGAATTATATAATTACGAGAGTAATTCTTCGGGATAATATTAAATTTCATTGAAAGCAACATTTAAATCACAAATGTCACCATTCGATGTCACATTGCTACAAACTTTGTGCCATGAATGGACTCATTGTGACAGCGAAAAGCGTATTGGTTTTTATAAAACTTTTACTATTTGTGATTCCAAATTGGAATGTTTTAAGCTGTGTTTATATCATTGTATGCTATATTGGTTTCTGGAGTAGAGTTTAGCGTTATACAGTTAGATGAAAAGAATCTCTACAGCAAAAATTTTCGATATATTTGTTGAAAGGATACAAACTAAAAGGGCTCATAAGAGTAGCTTCTAGAGAGATATCTTCCAGTTTCTGACAGACGGGAATTGATGAGAGCCGACGAGCGATGACTGACACTAAAGATTCTTCCTTAGAATAAACATTGCTACATGAAAGTAAACTGAGAATTGGATATGCCCCAAAGTTTAAATGAACTTGCGTATTGTAAGAGCTGGTTGTGTACTGTTTTCGTTTCACAGAACGAGAAAAAATTTTCGAGGCTTTAAATGCAAAATAGAATATAAGTTACAGATCGAATTTCTTTGAAAACAACATCATACAATGCAGAAAAAAAGATTGCCATGACAATTATTTTTTCTGCTTTAAGAGTCTAATGTAATTGAACCAATTTCGAATTAATAACCCTTTTTAAAATTGAGATAGTAGAAAATTTGAATTAGCTTAACATTTTGTGGCAAATATTTAATAAGTTTGTCGATTTATAACTACATATTTTGGGAATGAATTCTGTTATACACTTCAGAATTTTTCTTTTTGAAAGAAAAATATTAGTCCGAGGTACAAGATATTACTGGTTTTACTCTTTAGAGAATAAAACTTATTTCGAATTCTCAGTTTCTAAACTTGTAAATTGATTGAATTTAGATGCTTAAAAAATCAATTTTTATTTTTCAAATAGTCTGAATTGGCTAAACATGCATTTGTTACACAACAAGCATACAATTGTTAAATTTTATTTGGTGAGCAAAAATAAATTATTTTTCTTAGAAAAGTAGTACTTTACTTTGAAGAGAATTACATTTTGTTGCGTATCTAGCTTCGTTCTATTTTCAAACAGGACCATTATAGGGCCTTGTTTTCCACTAAAACTATTTAAAAATTCCCACAGCAACTAAAAAAAATCTGAAAAAGTTCTCTAACATATGCCTGCAATGGTTATAAAGAAGCAGATAGTGCCTCTCTTGCTACATGTATGCACAATGTGCTAGAAAAAAACAACGGACTACCCTGTTTAACTTTTGAACTAATGACCAGATCTTTATGTTCTAGAACTCAATCTTAATTTTTAGAAGGGGTGAACTCAAATACGCTAATTAATAAATGCAAACGATATTTTAAAATACGAGATCAGATGCAAAAACTTATTTTTTCGGAATAAACATACCTTTTTTTTGAAGGATTCGTATTTCTGACCCCCAAGCTGCAATTTGGGAAATATAGTCTCAATAGTTTTATCAGGAGAGTGTTCCGAAGTTTGAACCTTTTAATGTTAATTTTAGTTTTGTGTATTTCTCTGTATCTCGAGAACTTTTCAGAGAGAATTGAAAAAATTTGCTCACAATTATAAAATTGGTTTATCCAAAGATAACTCCCATGTAAAAATTGTAGCAAATATTCATTATTTTTTATTATTTTATTTTATAATGATCGAAAAATTTTTGAATTATAAGTTATACAATTTTTTGAAACTTTTTTAAGAATATAATTTTACACTGCAAAAATACAAAATTTGGGAAAAATTGGTCAAACAGTTATAAAAAAAATTTCATTTTAACTATCTGTCTTTTTTTTTAAAATTCACTTTCTCAGGAAGTATTCAACCGATTATCTAAAATTTGTATTTTGCCATGCAAAATTATATTCTTTAAAATGATGCAAAAAAAAAAAAAAATTAAATACCTTAAAATTCACAATTTATCGACCTTATAAAATAAAATAATAAAAAATAATGAATACGTCCTATATTTTAGGGGTCAAAAATACAAATTCGCGAAAAAAAAAGGTACGTTTATTCAGAGAAAGTACCTTTTGTATCTGATTTCGTAACTTAAAATATCGCCTGTACTTATTGATTAGAATATTTCAGAACACCCCCTCGAGCCATTAAGATTGAAGAATGTGAAATTCTGGTCATTAGATTAAAAGTTATTTAGGGTGGTCCATCTTTTTTGCCGAACAGTAGATATAACAATATATACTGAATATATATATTTTAAGCTTTTATNATTTATATATATACAACAAAATAAATAAATACAAAAAAACACGAAGAAAAGTAAGGAAAACAATAAGTTTCATTTATTGCGCATAAGCTGCAAATAAAACAGAACTCATTAGATAAATTTGTGGATATAATCGTGTAGGCTGATAAAAAGATTACATCTCTTATTTTCCGGATTTTTTTTAAAAAATTTTATCCCTTTTTTTTCCAGTTGTTTGTTATTATTTTTATTATTATTATTTTTCTCCCCCCCCCCTTTTTTCCATATGTCTGTAATTTTTCTTTGTTTTATCTTCCTTTTGAACTTATATCTTTTATTTATTTATTTTTATTTTTATATATATATATAACGCCAAATTCCACGGCTAGTTGGAAATAGAATTCATACTTAATTTCATAAACGTCAAGTTTTTTTTACGCTGAGTGCATCGATTATTCTACTTATTGATGAAAACAAGTCACTTTAATAATAGAATACTAAATATGCAGATTAAATATTAAAATTTACTCAGTCACAAAAAAGAAAAGAAACAACATTTTCTTCAAAAATTTTCTAAACAAGATACATTTTTGAAAGAATATTTCTAAAAACATTCTGATGATTCACAGATGACAGAGAGAAAAAAAGAACATTCGAAGATTAATAATAGACGAAAAGGGAGAAGGAACAAGTGAAAAACCACTCCTCTTGTGCGATGGTGAAAGGAGAAAATAAAGCAAGGGGGTCACCGGTGAAGATTCTCCTCTTGAAATTTGAAACTCGAAAAAATTTAATTTTAGATATGTTCATCCTTTTACTCACATTGCTCGGCGGGGGCGGTAGAACCGACGTCATCTAGCGAAGAGAGAGTTTCGACCACCAGTGGATATTGACAATTCTCCTAACTACACCCGAGTAAGGGGAGAGGATAATTTTAATATTTGGTTCTCCCCCCTGCTCCCAAGAGAATTTCTTAAAGATCAAGAAAGGGTAAGAATATTATAAAAATGTTTTGGAAGTTTAAATGATTTGTTGTAATCTGTTGCGCTTTATTGTATCTCAAAAGCATAACCTGCATTGCATTTATGAAAAAATCGTTAATATTTTCGATTAAATTATTCGCTAGTAAAGTGCAATTATTTATTTTTTTTACTCAAACTATTCCTAAAAATATCTAAATAAATTTTCTAAAACCAAATTATTCTGATCTAAAGTTTGAAAAATAATTTACCGATAAGTAAGGTGTGTAAAAGGGAATAAATAAAAGGGGCTGATTTGCATAATATTTTTACACTGAAATTTTAATTTCTTTTTAAAATATATAAATAAATAAAGAGCTTATGCTGTGTAGAAAGGTTTAAAGTTTGAAAGTAGAGGTTAAATAAAACAGCAAAATATCGATGAAACAAAAATTAAAAATGTACATACATTTTGTCCTTTTAAATTGTTTTCCTTTAATTTTTATTCAAAATTTCTGAGTTTAAAAAGTTTGTATAAACTTGAAAAACTTTAAACCTTTTTATATAGCATAAGAATAATAAAACTTATTAATGTTGTTGGAAACATAGCACTTTATGAATGGATTTAAATGTTGAAATTTTCATTTAAAACTGAAATATAAGAAAACGCAGATTTTATATTAACATCCATATTAAGATTAGAAAATACAATTCGAAAATATGAAAATAATTTTTTTAAAACGATCATTATCTGCTAAAGACATACATATACGTGTAAAGTTAATCGAACTGTATTTCAAAGTCTAAGTTGGCAACAATTATTAACTAATTTATTAACCAATTAGAAAGCACACACTTAGTTTAAAAAGGCTAGCATTCCGTGATTGATTTCCATAATAATTGATAAAGGAAATAAAACTATTGCAATTTTATCGTATTTGGGTAATTCATGTTATGTTTTACTAAATTGTATATTACAAAATACAATATCACAATTATCTATACTTATATATAAAGTAGACAGAAGTAATTATGTGCTAGAATGTTTCTTTTAAATTACAATAAGATTTCACATTTACACTTTCATACTATGCCTGTCGCTTTTAAATGGCTGAACATGAAGTAATCGAATCGTTAATGCAGAGCTGATTTTATGTTTTATAAACAATTTTAATTTGACTAATTTTCAAAACAACTAAGATAAAGAGTAACACGTAATTACCCCCACAAGAATCTCACTTTTTTGCTACTATTTCTGAATGACATAGCTCAGTTACTGAAATTTAAAGAAGATTTAAATCATAATTTTTGTTTTAATGTTTTTTTTTATAAATTTTCCAACTTCTTTTTTCTTTTTATATATTTAAAAAAGAAATGAAGTACTATTAAGATTTTGGGAACCGTGAAAATATTGCTAAGCGATCATTGAAATCGGCGAGGCTTAACTAACTATAATAATAGGTATCACTGATGTTGTGGTAATAGTAACGTATTACAAGATGTTCTAAAATTCAGCCAGCAAATTTAGAGGAGTGATAATAGGCATCAAGAAGATAAAAACTATACTGAGAAGGTGGAAATCGCGAAAAACGTATGCAAGCTCTAAATCTAGAANAAATCTATCCGCATACTATAATCATCCACTTATCTCCGCCACCCTGGACATAAGCGAGCTATAAGCTGAAAACTGCATAAAGCTCCAAAACAGAACGCCAACAATCATCATCATCATCACTGATGTTGTGGTAATAGGAACGTATTACATGATGCTCTAAAATTTGGCCAACAAATTTAGAGGAGTGATAAAAGTCATCAAGAAGATGAAAACTATACTGAGAAGGTGGAAATCGCGAAAAACGTATGCAAGCTCTAAATCTAGAAAAGATGAAAGGTCATAACGCGGATACTGCAGATATCAAAAACACACCTGACTTTTTCAAATGCACCCCAGAGTCGTTATTATGTTTTTGTTATTAATTACAATGAAATCAACGGGCGTCAAATCAAACAAATTTTGTAATGATTAAGCGTTAGTTGCGGTCTTTTCCGAGCTTTTAGTTGCAGGTTTTCCTGCAACAAAAATCGATTTATCTATGTTTATTGAATAGGAAAATTGTACGTTGCTGGAAAATTTTTGCACAATTTTACCCAGGGGCTCAACGCTTGGAGTGTAAATCAACTAATTTTTCTGTACTTCGCCAGTTGTAGTATACTTTTTAATTATCCAGCGTGACATCGAAACAAGCATGGGTTCTTCACGATATTCACCTGGTAAACATTGCTTGCATCCCCATGTTCTATGGCAGTGTTTCCCAAACTTATGACTTTCGTGTACCCTTTCTATATTTTTCTTAACGCTGTGTACCACTAATAAAAAAATGAAAGCATTTTTTTAAAAATGTGTTTAGTTTTCTTTTTTGGTACAAAGTCTTATTTGCATCAGTGAGAAGGATGATATTATTTTTGCTGTGATAACAGTTATAGAGACAAAAATAATATTTTATAAGAATAATAAAAATAAGTAGCATTTATTACAAACATTTAGTATAAAAAATTGCACAAGAGTTAAAAATCACAACTGGTTGTTGACACCACTAATTAACTGTTAACTCTGCAAAAAATAGCCAATAGAAAAATACGTAATCGTAAATTTTCATGGCTAGCTTTTCATGGCATGGCTTTTAAATAAAATTGTTTGACATTTTCGTCTGTTGCAAGATATTTCGTATAAGAAAGCGTACACCGCTAAACTGTTCCCGTAACACTGGGGGTACGCGTACCACACTTTGGGAAAGACTGTTCTACGGCATGTTTTCCCCCTCTGAAATGCTTCTTATTATCCATCTGAATTTGAAACTCAACTTCGGAGATCCCTGTATTTATAAATGAAATTTTTTACTATTGAGTTTGTGTTAAAACCGTAAACAAATTTAGAAAGTTTGGAATAGTTAACTTTTCCGAAAGAAAATATTTACTACTAGATTTTATCTTTTTTTCGGATAAGTAGCAGATTTGAAATACAACTCCTTTGTTGAAAAAGGTCTGCATAATTGAAACAAGCAAAACCAATAAATTAAATAAGTAACATTAAAAAGAAATGTAATTTTAATGGTTAAAATATTAGTATCTAACATATTTTATCGATGAAATCTGATAATTCAAAGTTCTGACTAAAAAATAATCGAAACATCTCAACAAACTACTACCTGCAAATTAACTCTTTAGAACTAATATTAGAAACAAATTACTTTATTATTAAAAAAAAAGTATAAGTAAAATAAAAACGTATTGCTACAAACAATTAAATAACAAAAAAGCACCAGCAATTGCTTTTTCAGAAGAGGATTAAATATGGAGCTTGATAGCGGCAAACATATCATTACATATTCAGCAGAAAATAAAATAAAGAATGCTTATATATGATATTTCAGAGAAGTATTATTACATTAATGGTGTATGATTATACTATCGAATTCCTCATTAAATATCACACTTATCTACTATAAATTTTTCAAAAGTTTTATCACAAATCAATACTTTTGATAACAGGCGATGCAAATTTTGATTCCGATAAAGTCAGAACACGAACAGGAATTTCAGCCCTCTGGTAATTGGATACCTGCAAGTGACATAGTGTGTATATCTCGATCCTGATTGGTTGTGGAAACGTGGTAATTGTTTACGTTAGCAATTGTTCTTTCCGTTCTATTTCGAGTAAGCCAAGACAGTCAAATATCTATTCTCTTAAGTGACACATTCTAAATTCTTTCACAAAGGCTCTTTCAAAAATATTTCAATTATTTCACTACATATTTTCACAAAGACAAAGTACGAAGCCATATGGAACATAAACAAAATAATTATACATCAAAGTTGCCAGGTACACAAAACAAAAATATACCATGGTTACAAAAAATACATAAACAAATAATAAATCTAAGCTAAGTGAAAGAAATAAACGCGAAAGAATTATATTTCAACTAATTCTATATGCGATACGGCTCTATATATAATTAACTTATCGTTAATTAGCATTCTAACTTAAGTAAAGAAACTTAGCTCAACTTTTATTCGCCATTTTGCTGATAAACATTAGCTGGCGCTAACGTCATAGGTCATAAGTGTGGGCATGGAAGGTGTTCTTCTTTCAAAACCTTTCAACCGTCAGTCCAGATCTAATTGCTTTTAACAATGAATTGCATCTCTATTATTCTTTGGAATAAATTCATATTTTTTTTTAAATTGGTCATCAATTTTTGCTTTAAACAAGTTCGAAATGATTCATAGTGACGCATTTATTTTAGTAAAGCATAACATACACCAATTTTTGAAAGTATGTTATGAATAAAGAAATGGTTATTAATGTTTGATTTTTAATGCTTCGAAAAGAAAAATGCTCTAAAAATAATTTTCCTGAAATGAATAAAATGTGTTTATTGTAACATTACGTAACTTTTGCTTTAATAAAATAACTTTATGGACATCGTTTTAAATATTTATAAATCATTAAGCCATTCGCCTAGTAAAGTAGCGCTAAACGAGTTCTGGTAAAAAGGAAATAAATAAAGGAATGATTATTAAATTCAACATTATTTTTACACACAATGAAATTACTTTTGCAACATTGTTCAAAAAAGTTTTAAAATTAAAAAAAACTGCCTCATACTAATGCATAATAATATCAAACAAGATTTGTAAATATAATATGTAAAAAAATTATAAGACTACCCCAAATATTACTCATTTTTATGGTACACTGGATAAAATGAATAATTTTGAAATTGTGAATATTATGGGTTATATATATCAAAATATATATCAAATAAATCAAAAAGTTTAAATAAATTGTGTTGGTTTCACACAGCAAACGGTTATTTAAAATCTGGGTCTAGCATAAGTAAAAGACGACCTATTTCTTTTTCCAAAATTACTTGAGTTTTAAATTTTTTTCTTCGAAAATAGTATTTAAACTGTAACTTTGAATCGCAGAAAACGCAAACGATAATCTATATATATATTTCTCTTACACGGCACCAAAAAAAAGCCTCATTACAACTCCCCGAATGGCAACGTTAGAAAATAGACCAATGATTGCTGCTAAAAATGTCACATGGCAAATGTCACATGAGGTGGCTCAACATATAGCGCTTTTAAAAACGGAAACAATAACCAGAGTGAGCATTATCAGGTTGTTCAATTCAGATTCATGCCCTAAAAACATGATAATATTTAATTTAAACTCAATTAGGAATTAATTAGGCTGGCCTTCTCCATGACTATAAATAAGTCACAAGGTCAGACTTTTGAGAAAATCAGTTTAGTATTGACTAAACAAGTTTTTAGTCATGGACAACTTTATGTTGGCCTGTCAAGAGTTAAGTCATTTGACAGCCTTTCAGTAATTGCTCCAAGATGCCAAATCTATAATTGTGTTTTCAAAGAAATTCTAAATGCTTAGTGTTAATTTCTTAGAGCTTTGCAGAAAAAAATGTTTTTTGGAAAAAATTTAATTGAAACTTCTATTGGCAGTAGGCAAGGGGAACTGCCAAAATCAAAACTCCCCGATTAGAAATGCAGCATGGCGACCTCCACGTGGTATTTCTCGGGTAATGCTAACAGCCATGCATTTTAATTTATTGTATGTAAAACATCCTTATTTTGTTCTAAAATGTTATGTACTTTATCACAAATGTTAATTAATATAGAAATTGATTTCAATAATGCTGATCACCAAAAAATATTTCATTTGGCGATAAAACAAATTTTTGTGTTCTTGAAAATGAAAGACTTTTTGAGGGTTATTATCTCACAAGGAAAAGTTAGGGTTTAAAGTTTATATTTTTAAATAATAAAATTTTTTTCTAAAACTTTCAGAATTTCTAGCATTAACTAATTTATTATACACATTTAGTTGAATTTAGGTGAGTAACTGCAATATTTGATAATTTATTTTGCTAATATGTTTCTCATTTAGCTAATGTTTTGATTTTTTCACCATGTACAATCTAAATAGCTAATATACTTTTTTAAAAGCCAATAAGAACATTGATAGAATTCTTCTACATAAGTACAATACTATGTCTTTGATGATAAAATACTATGTCTTTGATGATAATATACTATGTCTTTGTGCTAGAACATTTTGTTCATTGGCGAGCGAGCACAGCGAGCCATGGTTCACGGCGTGAACCACATAGGATTGCGTAGCAATTCTCGGGGGTTGGCGAGCGTTAGCGAACAGGGGGCGGAACCTCCTAGTATTATAAAGAAAACGAGATTTTAATTTATTTGTATTTATAAGAAAATTCACAATGCCACGCGGAAAATAATTATCTGAGCTAGAAGCTCGAAAAAAATTTTTTTCCTTTAAGACTCTGGAAATTCAGAATGTGAAATATGTAAGTTAATTAAACGTTTTAAAACTGCTGTTCATAATGTTTTTAATAAGAAATACTTGTATGGAAAATATAAGAAATCCGGTAGGAAGCGTAAATTATCAGCTCGGAATAATAGATACATTTTCAAACTTGAAACGAAACAGAATTCTTCGAAAGTTATAAAGAGAACCAAAAATGTTAAAGGATTATATAGAAGAGAGGCTGAATTGGGCAAAGGAGGTCGCGACCTAGGATGCTGTTTGGAAAAATATTATTTTTCACGACGAAAATAAGTTCAATTTGGTTGGTCCGGATGGTAATAATTACTTCTGGTAGGATTTGCAAACAGAATCTCGTGATTTGTCAAGTAGGCAGATGGGTGGCAAATCGGTGATGGTGTAGGGGCTTTTGGTATAATAGTGCAACCTGCAGCGAATTATCAACAAAAAATTTGTTTCTGAAAGAAAAAAAATCAAGTTCCTAAGCTAGCCAAACTGTAGTCATGATCTTATTTGTACAGAAAACTTATGGGGCTACTTGGCTAACAAGTGTATGCAAATAACCACCAATAATGATTCTGTATATCATCTGAAAGTAGTTATCAAGTAGTATCGAATGGGACAAAATTCCTAAAACTTAACTTGAAAACTTGATAGAGTCGATGAAAAATCAAGCTTTAAGGGTGGATCAACATCTTTTTAGTTTTATAAACCAATTCAGTATTAATTGTCTTATAATCTTGTAACAGATATTTGAGGGTGGAAATTTTGATACTCTTGAAACTTAAAATACTTAAATTTAAATCTGCCTCTTAATATATAATATATTTTGTATTTCCATTAACTTAAGTTAATTTTGGAAAATTCAAAAGCCACAAGAATCACAGTGGTCTTATAATTTTGTTACACACTGTATGAAATCAATAAAGAAATGGTCAAAAACGTTTGCGTTTCAGTACTTCTAAAAGAATGATATTTCAAAAACTATTTTCCCTTAAGTGACTAAAATGCATATTGTAACATCATTTTTACTGCCTTTAAATCAAAAACTCGCTTTGTGTAACTTTGATTAAGAATTAATAATATATAATTGCTTTTACTTTAAATAAATAAAATGTTTGCAACTTTGTTTTCTCCTAACAAATCATGTAATATCTTCCTAGCTTTCCAAATATGCAATCAATGAAGAAATGATTACTAAGGCTTGCTTTTTTGTTCTTCTATAAGAAAAGTATTTTAAAAATTATTTTTCCTTGAATGAATAAGATAAGTTTGTCGCAACAATATTTTTACCACCTTTAAACAATAAGATAATTTTTAAGAACATGATTTAAAAAAATTCAGAATCGCAAAATTATTTAGCAGTGAATAACGCCAAACAGGTTCTGCTAGTATGAAATGAATAAAGAAGTAATTAAGAAAGTATGTTTCTTATTTATTTTTTATTAAAAGAAAAATATTTTTAATTTAAAAATTTTTTTGATAAATGAAAGCATTACTTTCAGTGTATTTTAATTGTTATTGGGGTACTAAGTATTCTAAACACATTGCATCCAAATTTTCAATAAATATTTACTGCATGTTTGGCAGTGAATAATATAGCCATTTCGAGAAATGAGTTCATGCCGTTGTGATGGGAGGTATTTGTAATAAATTTGTGCAACAAAAAACAATCGAACTGAACCCTTGTTATTTCTAAATAAAGTCGACGCATAATGAACTAAGTTTTTTTTTAAGATAAGTAATTTAAAATATTAAAACTTTAAGTTGTAGTGAAACTAAAACTACAAATTGAAATTTCAAAACATCTTGATCTTCAGAAGTTGATGACTGAAAAAAATTAGATTGTTTCAAAGAATTTTTTTATCTTTTATTATTACCGACAAAGATTGTTTAAAGCAGTTTCAACATTTTGACGGCAGTTGTTTTGAATCCTCTCTCATTTTACCTATTAAATATTTATGATAACATACAATGCACTTAATATTAGAAAAAAAAGTGTTTAAAATAAGATTAAAAACCAGAGTATTAAATAAGTGTATAACTCTAATTTTACGTAATTATAATATTTAAACATTCTACCGTATTTTCAAGGGTGTTAGAAGTTTGGAATCCTTAAATTGCAATGAAAGTTAGGGGAGTCAACTTGTACACAGGTATCATATTTGGACAAAAATATTTATTTATAAAATCTGGTTCTTACGTAAAAAAATAATCAAATACAAGTATAAGAAAATTAACACTCTTAAAACACAAAACAAACTTTTTACCTACCATCGTAAGAGTTCCGTTCTGGGGATTTGGTTCTAAAATCATATCTTAAACTCATATAAATTATTTTTTTTGTCATCAATTACTTTTAGGTACTTTTTTTTAATTATATCTATGTAGTCACAGATCAAGATTTCGGTAGAGTATGCTTTATTTATTTTATTTTATTTTTATTTTATTGTCCGTCTCTAAAGCAGTGTTTTCACCTTGTCTAAAAGAAAAGTATTAAGATTTTTTTTTTTAATCAATTAATGTGTTTTCTGAAACCTTGTCTAAAAGAAAAGTATTAAGATTTTTTTTATCAATTAATATGTTTTTCGAAACCATGGCTAAAAAAAAGTATTCTTTTAGACAATTTTATTTTTTTCATTAATATGTTTTCTTAAATCTTGTCTAAAAGAGTTAAGATTGTATTAAGATTTTTTGTCAATTAATGTGTTTAATGAAAACAGTTTTTAAAACAATCATAAAAATACTATTTTTTCTTTGAGCTTAACATAGACTTAGATATTGATAGTTTTTTTTTTTAACATTTTGCATAACGATTTGTTTCAAATTAAATGTGACCGTTTGTTTTATTTTTTAAATAAAATGGAAAATTTAAGTTGAAATATTTTTAGTAATTTTTCTCGTATCTTCACACATTGTACAAAATATTACTGAAAAAATACGAACTAAGCATCAATAGGTGCATACTCAAAATGTTCCGGGGAAAACAAGTTCAACTGAAATGGTTTCTTTCAATTAGTTCTATTGTATAGAATTAATTGGGTAAACAACAGATTGTTCTTCCAAAATTATTTGGATAAACAACAGATTGTTTACCCAAAAACCTTCATACCAGTAATAGTAGAAAATATAATTCGCAAACAATTTGAAGGCAAATGCAAATTATTCTGCAGAAAACAAAACAACAGGCTTATAAATACATGTCTGCTATTTCTTTTCGATCTGTTGGAAAAACAAACTGTCCTTTACGGAAATTCTGAATCTTTTCAACAATTTCGCTTACATCAAACGTTTTTGCTTCCTCAGCTAACTCAGGCTGAGTAAGTTGCAACGATTTCCATTCATCTGTTACTATTATTTCATCGTAATAGTTCTGAACAAACGCCATTGACCACATTTTTAAGCGCTTATCTTGATACAATTGAGCTAAGGATAGAATTCTAGTGACATTTTCAACACACGTGTTTTTAATTAAATCCACGCCACATTCCAGTTTCAGATCCAGGATTGCATATTTATCGTCTGCTCTGTAAAGGTCTGCAATTTCTTGAACGGTATGGAGCGCCTTGCTTTCACCGTTAGTATACGAAATCAGATGATTCAAAGTGGCATAATCCATATCTGGAATAAAAACTCGCTTGTTTCTTTTTTCGAACATTTCAGTCGTAAACATTCGAGCGAATACCTGAGATCGCTTGCAGAGTTTGTTGCTTAAAATTGCATCTATATCATCAATCCGCATCATCAAAGTCAAAGTTTTGTCATCTTGCGTAATTAGTTCCACTTGTTCTTCTTTTGAGGCTTCTTTAACGTGGATTTTGATTTTGGTAGCTTTTTTAGACGGGCGCGGAAATTGAATTTCATTCTTAAATATTACGTATTTGAGGTTGTAACAGATTGTCAAGCTGTCTTTCCGCACAAACTCACTATCTGTCATAATCCTTTCACGATTCACAAATCTGTGCAGGCCTAATGTACCATCTACAGTTTCATTTGAAAATGATTGGAAATACCTTTGATTTCCATCCACATCAAGTAAAGATAAAACACACTGAAGGCTAAGCTTGTAAGGATCCAATGGACGAACTAAAAGATCCACCGACACGTAACCATCATTCATAGCACAATTTCCGTTCGGATATATCCTAAAGCTGAATAAAGTTTGATCGAGAAAAGTGTAATTCATTGAAAAAATGTCACATTGTCCCACATCATAAGTGCTGAAGTTCAACACTGTCACAGAACCAGTGCATTCTTCTTCAGTGTAAAAATCAACTTCCTGTATTTGGTCAGCCATTGTTTTTGCAAAACAACTTACAAGGAAAGAGGTAATTGTTTAATAAAACGTGAGACGAAAGCAACATCTACTCAAAGTTTCAATTTCATGATAGATAATAAAGGTAAATAATCTCTAAGAATTTTGAGATAAGTTACTGATAAAAGAAATTCTAGTGATAAACGAACAATAAATTAAGAAAAAAAATTTTATTTCCATTCTTTGAACACTTTAACTAAGTATCAATCAAAAATGTTTTTCGAGCTATAATATCATTAATCATTTGTGTAGGTAATGTTTATAAAATTAAATTTGAGTCTTTAATTAAGAACAGCTTTTTCGTTAATAACTCTATGAATTAAAAGTCTCAAGTTAAACATTAGATGTTAATTATGTTGCTTTTAGTGGAAAATAATATGAGTAAAATGATTATTCATATATCTTAAAGCAAAATTGCTTAAACTGTTTTTTAAAGGAAGTCTACAACTTTACGATAAAACTGAATTATTTTTCGGAGAAAAAAAAAATTCTGTTTTATTTTAGAAAATAACTTTCGAAAAATTATGTAAGTTTAAACTAAATATACATGTATCAATACATCAATTGTTTTAATCTCGTCTGCTTAGAGAAAAAAAAATATGTTCTTCAAAACTATCAGAATATGTTAAATTTACCATGTTTCAGGAGTTATGGAAACACCAAAAATCTTGGTAAAATTTACCGAAGCACTTTGGCAATGATTTGGTAAAATTAGCAACAAAAAATAGTATAGGCGAAAAAATTTGGTAAATGCGGTAAAGTTTGGTAATTTTATCTTGACATCTTAGAACATAGCTAAAAACTATTTCTTCGGTTAAATTTACTTTTCAGGTTTGTATTTTTTACCGTATATTTTGGTTTTATTATTCCGAATTAGGTTTTTTTTTCTTTTACTATAAATATAATTACCATACAATACGATAATTTAACCAAACTTTTTTTCTCCGTGTGGCGATAATTTTACTATAAAAATTCAGATGAAAGCTCGAATCTTTTTTCATTTTTTTTCCTTCTTCTAAAAAAAAGTGATTGCAAAAAAAAATTGGCTAATTTATTTGACAAGTCAGTTTCATGTAAGTACAAAAGATCCCTGCCAAATCATTACAAATCAAACGGACTGATTGCTATTGCCGTCATATTTTTATGAAATGAACTGGGATTTTTTGTGTTCATTTTATAAAGAATTTTTTACGGAAAAGTACATAATAAAAAGAAAGCAAAATAATATTTAAAAATTATTTGAATCAATACTATTAAGGAGCCATTCGAAGTTAGACTCAATTTAAAAACAAACAGCGCAGCTAAAGAAAGTGGCTCATACTTTCATAAAGTCTAAAGCGCTTTTATTTATAAGACAATTTACTTCATTAGAAAGTAAAGAAAGAAAGAACTATATAATTACACCATTGAATTTCTTTTCTTATATATATATATAAATGGGGCGAAAAATTAATGGAATTTTCTTATTGGTTAAGAATTAGACACTGTTTTAAATTTAACTAAAGACGATTCTATTTTTTCATATATTTTAAGAATAAAATCAATGATATTTACTAGCTTATGGCTCTATTTGATTAAAAAAAAGAGTTTTTTTTGCGTGATGTTCAACATCATACTTTTTAATTTATAATTGAAAAAAAAAAAGATACTGAGAGGGTGCTTTTTGTCTTAAAAAAGTAACTGGTTTTTGACCAAAATATTTCCCTTTTTTCTATAGTACAATAGCAAAGGTCTTTGACCTTAATTGTTTTCTTTTTCTTTCTTTTTTATCGAATATTGTACTTTTCAACATAAAAAAGAATCGAAACTATGTTTTTTTCTGTTTTTGGTAATTAAAAATATAAAAAGTAATAATAAGCCAAAATATTTCAAATTTTTTTATTATGAAATAACAAAACTACTTAAAATTTACTAAAACAGTGATATAAAATTGATTGAAAGGGTCAGAAATGTCCGGGGTAAAATTTTAGAACTGTAGAAATCGTTCTTTCTCGAATAACAAGACTTCTCTTTTTTTTGTCACGTTCTCTTATGGACTAAGAGAATAAGAACTCATTAGTTAGCTCTGTTGCAACATCAATCACGAGAATGGAGAGTTAGTCTAGATATTAGAAACCCGGAACAAGACAATCCAGTGGACAAACTATCAAGAAGCGTTCCACCATCTACATCGAAAGATCTCAATATCTGGTGGAACTTTGCTGACTGAACACAGAAAGCTGGCCAGATTCTAAAAACGATTGCACACATAATTAGGAGGTAAAGAAGAATAAAGAAATTTAAACATTTCACGTAACTACTTTTCAATCCATCATAGAAGCAAAGAACTACAGCTCCTACTTCAGACTGGCACGTGTTACTGCATGGATTCTAGGCTTTATCTCGAACTGTAGATCTCAAGACGAGAAAGTCAGAGAACTTGACACTGTAGAAGTATATGATGCTAGAAATTGTTGTCGTTACTTATTCCACTTGGCCCAGAACAAGGATAGACCAGGTCCAGAAGACCGTTCACAGACAGAAAATCATATACCGTCGCCGAACCCAACAAGATAAAATTCTTCTCTAGCCCCATACAGGGGAGCAAATGATCAGGTGTAGCCTGGTGCACATTACATTTTAGGCATACAGGGAAGTCTTTTGACCCTGAACAAATGTTAATTCGTGGGTATGACCTCTAATTAGTCTTGTGATAGCTGTCTGCAGTTTTCTATCACCTTTTAGCTCCAGGGCAGTTCTAGGACTATTTTGTTGAAACTAATCATGAGTAGGGGGAATCCTCCAAGTCCTGTTATTGTCGGCCTTTACTTTTGCATAGATTTCATTGTATATTAGAAGGCCACTACTATCTATAGGCCCTCCTTGGCCAGTTCATTAAAGTAAAGGCTTACGTGGGAAGCGATCTACTGTAGATGTATGTCATTGTAAGAAGAGTAAGTCTTCAAATTGTTAATGATATTCAGGCCAATTCTGTCACCGATGTTTCGCCAATTGCTCAGATATTGTATTGAGCTCTTACTATCAGTGAAAATCCAGATATTCTCTGTACTCTCAATGGAAATCATGTGTTCTGACAGCATATGATGCTAGAAATTACTGGATATAAGTAATTCAGAAAGAGTGATTTCCGTTAGAATATGAAGCTTTATCAACATCCAAGCCACTGCCAAAAAATTCATACATTACAAACTTCAACCCACTATTTGAAAATAAATTAATACGTATTGGTGGTAGATTACAGTTTTCGAGTTTATCAGAGTCCCAAAAGCATTCTATTTTCCCCAAAAACATCCTATTTTTCCCAAAAACATCCTATTCAGGATGGGGAGGATGATGCGACATCCATCACGAGAATGGAAAGTTAATCTAAATAATGGTATTAACACGGAAGTATAACAACTCTGGCTGGTTGCTAGGCAATCAAACGACTTTTTCTTATTTTCCTTGTTATTAATGTTTTTGTATATCGTCTGTGTGTGTCAGTGGAAATAGAAGGAAATGGTTTTCATACGATAGCTGCAAAAGCTAACAAGCTCTTCACCCCTCTCATAAGGAGAATTAATATGGTTTGTTAAAAGGTCAGGTGTGTGGGTAGACCAAAAATAAGAAGTGCTTATACTAATATAGTTCTCTGGTAAACAGAAAAAAGATATTTTTTTTCACTTACACTAGCAATGAGGAATTGACGAAGAGAATAGATCTAACCTTATTACCATTAAATTTTAATTAAAATAGCTACAGTAAGTTTAATTAAAATTTCTAATTGACAATTAAATTTCATTAACCCCTTAACGATCGGTTAATTTTCAAGAAAACGGTCATAAAAGTGCCCATTTTTTGGCTTTTGTATTTGTATTACGTATTTGATTAGTGCTGACATCTAGCTTAAAATAAACTAACTATCTACAATTACCTTAAAAATATCCTGGTACTGCCATCTGGTGTGTAAAATGAAAAATAAAATGTTTTCCGGGCAAAAAAAAAATTAATTAGTTTTAGTCTTATTGGCGCGTTACTACTGAACACATCCTCAATAGCCCGTCAATATCACGAGAGCGAGAAATAGAGGGCGAAATCTCACCTCGTCATTTTCACGAGAGCGAGAAGGAAGGGGTTAACTTACTTTAAAAAAACAAAAACAATATTTCTAATTCGGTTCGTAATATCAGCGGCTTATTGGATCACACGAAACGGCGGGCACTGTATTTGTCTTACGTTACCCCGAATGGGGTATCAAATACAAATAATGTTTTCAAAAATTTGGTCATTATTAAAAATTAGGTACTGAAAAGTTGGTTTACAGAACTATTTTTTAGAGCAGCGGATCCCAATTTTTTCCGGCTGTGGTACCCTAAATGATCTACCCTCTTTTGGAGGAATCTCGAGAATTAATGAATAAATTAACGGAAGACAATTAACTATTTTGAAAATAAGTAACTATCTAAATTTTATTGATTAATTTGAAATTCTTTGGTGAATGAAGGAAGAATGAAATTTTTTCATCATATCGTTACACTAATATTATTCTTAAAATTGGGTTTTTATGTCAGACAGTTGAATTAACAGTCGTGGAGCGATATGTAGTCTAGTTTTTAATTTGATTTTAGTGCATGCATGAACTATAAATGAATGAGCTGAAACACGGTTTCCATTAAAATAGGAAGAAAATAAATGCTGAGAATGGTTATCAGAGAATCTTCATAGTTAAATTTGGTCATTTTTACTTGATGCGAAATACTTTTAAAAACATTTCATAAAAATCGAGACAATATTTAAATAACAAATAGATTATTAATTGAATATAAATTGAATTACAAGTTTCGAAAATTATAACTGGTTAAAAAATTTCCCAACACTCGGAACCCCTGCGACCCTTCAACGGAACTCTAGGGTTCCGCAGAACACTATTTGGGAATCGCTGCTTTAGAGTATCATGTCTGCGAAATTATCGTGCAATAAAGTGGAGTAAATGAGATTTATGT